CTGACAGGAAACCCCGAGCTGGAAACTCGGTGCAGAATGTCTCAATGCTGGGAGAAATCCATTCCCCATCCCTGGAATATCCCGGGGTTATCCTGCCCCACGGATAGGAGAGCTCCACACCTCTGACAGGAAACCCGAGCTGGAAACTCACTGGTGCTCGGTGCAGAATGTCTCAGTGCAGGGAGAAATTCATTCTCCATCCCTGGAACATCCCGGGATTATCCTGCCCCAGGGATAGGAGAGCTCCACACCTCTGACAGGAAACCCCAAACTGAAACTCGGTGCAGAATGTCTCAGTGCAGGGAGAATTTCATTCCCCATCCCTGGAACATCCCGGGATTATCCTGCCCCACGGATAGGAGAGCTCCACACCTCTGACAGGAAACCCCGAGCTGGAAACTCGGTGCGGAATGTCTCAGTGCTGGGAGAATTTCATTCCCCATCCCTGGGACATCCCAGGGTTATCCTGCCCCAGGGATAGGAGGGTTCCACACCTCTGACAGGAAACCCCGAGCTGGAAACTCGGTGCGGAATGTCTCAGTGCTGGGAGAATTTCATTCCCCATCCCTGGGACATCCCAGGGTTATCCTGCCCCAGGGATAGGAGGGTTCCACACCTCTGACAGGAAACCCCGAGCTGGAAACTCGGTGCAGAATGTCTCAATGCTGGGAGAAATTCCTTCCCCATCCCTGGAACATTCCTGGGAGCAGAGCAGAGGCAGGAGCTCCCACCTGGTTCCCCCAGCTGCCTGTCATCCCCTGCAGCCCCCAGCCCACCTTTCACCACCTCCCCTGCCACCTCTCCCCTCTCTGCCTCCCTTTTGCTCCCGTTCTCCACTTTCCTTTCATCCTTTTTTCTCCCCTAGCCGTGTCTCTCTTGTCTCCAGGCCTCCCAAACTCATCTCACCTGTGCCCCATCAGCAGAGCTCAGCACTTTCTCCTGTGGCTCCAAAAGCCTTTCAGTGGTCAGTCCTCCCCCAGCACTCTCTGGACAGAGCCTCCCTCTCTCCCTGCTCCCTTCCCCCTCCTCTTTCTCTCCCTCCCATAATATTTTCCATATGAAGAAGCCTTCCTGAAGCCTCACAGTGCCCTCTTGGCGAGTCTGAGGCGGGTTAGAGGAGACCCTGGGAGCCTTTAATCCTCTCTCTCTCTCTCTCTCTCTCTTTCATCCTCAGCCACAGCTGGACGCCCCATTGATGTGGAACAGACCAAACACCAGGCCCCTCACTAAGCTGCTGCTGTGGGGCCTCTCCTCCTCCTCAGGAGCCCTGAGCAGTGTCCAGCTCCTGAGCAGGGTCCAGCAGCCCCTCCACACCCAGCCTGGGGGTCCCAGCTTCCCCCTCTCCCTGCCTCCGCTCCTTCCTGAGCCATCTTGCAGCACTTTCTTCTGAGAGTCTCCCTCATCCCATGATCCCCCTTTCCCAGGCTTGTTTGGGGTCGATTCCCCCCGGCCCCTGCGGAGCTGGGTGAGGGTGAGGGGCTGCTCTGTGTTGCTGTAGCTCGTGGTTATGTCCCAGGGAGGGCCTGGTGGGCTCCACCAGCTCAGCACTCCGGTCTTGAGTCTGCAATCGGCTCAGAGTTTGGGGGAGAAGCGTTTTTAAAGCCCACTGCAGGTGAGGCAAGAATATCTTTGAATTGAGGAATGGTTTGGGTTGGAAGGGATATGAAAGACGCCCCCTCTGCCATGGCAGGGGCACCTTCCACCATCCCAGGCTGCTCCAAGCCCTGTCCAACCTGGCCTTGGGCACTGCCAGGGATGGGGCAGCCACAGCTGCTCTGGTGTCCCACAGGGATTTCTGTCCAGCCCCTCTCCAAACCTTGCAGCGTGGATAAGACGGGCTCAGGAGGGGACAAACTGCCGTGTTTGGGGACCTGCCTGCAGCGAGCAGGTGACAGGGACAAGTGGGTCAGGGGCTGGGGGCTGTGGCAGGGGTCACAGGGTGGCACTGGGGGTTTGGTGCAGTCCCAGAGTGGCACTGGGGCCTCTGTCAGGGGTTGCAGGGTGGCACCAGGGGCTATGTCAGGGGTCCCAGGTGGCACTGGGGGCTGTGTCGGGGGTCCCGGGGTGGCACCGGGGTCTCGGTGCGGTCCCAGGATGGCACTGGGGTCTCGATGCAGTCCCAGGGTGGCACTGGGGGCTGTGTCGGAGGTCCCGGGGTGGCCCCGGGGTCTCGGCGCTGTCCCCGGCCCGGGGCACTCGCGGGTGGCACCGGGGCTCATTCCTGAGCCTCCTCCGCCCCCTGGCGGCCCCGCTCCGCCACTGCAGCCCCCTCTGCTCCGAAAACCCAAAAAAACCCCAAAAACCCCAAATCCCCGATATTTTCAGAAAAGTCTAACCCAGAGAAGCTGCTGTGGGTGTGACAGCAGACAGAGTCAATCAGCTGCAGTTCTGGGGTTTTCTGGAAGGCAGCAGAGAGGGGATGGCTCCATCCTCAAGCTCCAAAGGAGCTTTGGGGAATCCAAGAAGACAGGGAAGAGGTGGATTGATAACAGAGTTCAGAGAAAGGGGGAGAAAATGATCTGAGTTGTCGGGAGCACAGCTGAGGAGGGAAAATCAAAATGTTTAGGATGCAACTGTCTGGAGTCAGTCTGGAGTGGCAGGACTGAGGGGAGAATGGGAATGGGGATGATCTGATCCCTGGGGTCACAGTGGGTACAAAGGCATTAAAGTGGAGCAAGGCATCAGAGAGCAGGGACAGACAGAGCTGGGAGGAGCGTTCAGATGGGGCTGGTGCCTCACTGGAACAGGAAAATGCTGCAACCTCAACTGCTTAAAAAGATCTTTAGAAATGCCATGGGCAGGCCTGATCCTGCTGTGTCACTGGGCTGGCTGAAGTGACCTCCTGAGACAACATTCATCTTCTTCCCTGGGAGTCTATAATTAAAACCACATTGATCCTCTGCCAGAGATGCAGCAAAAGGCCCAACTTCATTACATTCCTGCTGCTCCAAGATGCCAGGCCCTGGATGGGCATCTCCTCACGACCTCTCCTGCCCCACAGAGCCTCTCCCCTGGGGCAGGGCCTCCCATGGATGCAGCAAACACCGTGGGAAGGGCTGAGGAGCAGCTCTTGGCTCAGTTTGGAGGCAACCAGTTGCAGGAACTGAACTAATTGCAGCCTCCTGGGATTTGTTCAGCAGAGCCCGAGCGTGTTCCCCCTTCTCGTTACCGAGCATCAAGTGCCTGATGAGAGAGGGATTTGGGGACAAGACAATGCAGAGATATCTAGCACAAAATGATTAGCCAGAATGTATTGTTAATAAGCTGCTTATTCATATAATTGGAAATTCTTTGCAGCTGGGGTGTCAGTGGAGGCTGAGTGTGCTGCTCTGCTGGAGCGGGGCAGGTACCGGCCCAGGGGACGCCGTGCTGGCACAGCAGCTCCTGCTCCTCCTTCAAGGGCAGGGAAGGACACAGGGAGGTGAAGGGGAGGCAGAAAGGCTCAGCCAGGCCCTGCTGATGAGGGACACAATTCCCAGTGTGGGAGCACAGGGTGTCTGGGAGCAGGGAAAAGCACAGGCCTTGTCTAGCATCCTTCTCCAGCATCCTTACAGCACCCAGAAAGAGAAGGGCCTGGTGTTGGGGAAGGTGAAACAGGAAAGCTTTATCAATATGATTGTCTGGCAAAAGAGTTTGAGAATATAGAAACTCTAAGTGAGATTGAAATGAAAGCAAGCTTTGAGATCCCTCAGTTACTGAACAACTGGAAAACAATGGTGTGGCCACTGAAGGTGATCCCCTTTTGATGGAACAACACCCTCTGCCTGCAGACAGGCCCAAGGGGCAGAGCAGACCCTACAGCTTGGCAGAAGGGGCCCAAAGTGGAGTTTTTAGGGTTTCCAAAGAGGAATTTTTAGGCTTGGCAGAAGGGGCCCAAAGAGGAGTTTTTAGGGTTTAAAATGTAACACAGTGTGGTAATGTAATGATTCTTATAGGCTGTATGGAAATGCTATAGGATTTGTATCTTGTACTGGATTGGTCAGTGAGAATATTCAACACAGAAGAAGATTTATTGTATTGGAACAGGAACCTCGCTCTCTTACCCCTTTTACTCTCTCATCCTCTCATCCCCTCTCTTCTCTCAGGCCTGCTCTGAGCTGTGCCTGGCAGCTCCCAGCAGGGCCCTGCACCCAGGCCCTTTGCAATCAACCCCAAATCCTAAGCCCTGGCTTTGGAGATCTCTCACCTCCATCCATCCCAACCATCCCACCCCCATCGCTCCTATATCCAGGGAAGTGTGGCCTCGAGGCAGATAAGCCCTGACACTGCTCCTGCTTCCCAAAACAGCTGTTTGGGACAGAAGCAGCTGTGGGAGACCATGAGGGAGCCCCCAGAGCTGGGGCAGCTGCCACCAGAGGGGACTGTGGTTGTGGGGTGCACACACAGCAGCTCCAGGGCTCACCTGCAGGATTGCACAGGAGCTTTGTGTGGGTTTGCAGAGTTCCTCAGAGAGGCTGGGGGAAAGGAGGGAAAGAAGCCATTCCCCATTCCCCCTGTTAGCCCTGGCTGACTGCAAAGCACCTGGGTGCAGAATCAGCCGCAGGAAATTCATGTGACATTCAAACTCCACATTTGGAATTTCAAATTTCAAACTCTGGGACATTTCTCTCCCTCCAGCCAGGGAGGAAGAGGAGCCAGGTGGGTCGACCTCACCACAGGCTTGGGGGTACAGGAGGGTGACAAAACCAATGCCACCAGCCAGGTGAGAGCAGCAGCGGCCTTTGGCACCAGGAGAGGTGGTGCCCCCCGGTGCCCCTGTGCCCAGCACTGACTGGGCAGTGCCATTCTGGTGTTTCACGGAGGAGAGGTTGTGCTCTGGGCTCAGGCACTTCCCCAAAAGCACGCCGAGATTGCTGTCATATTAATTTTGTAACAAAAACATGGGGAGGTGTTTCCGCTTGAGGCAAGAGCGAGAACTCGGCACTTCCCCCCCAGCTGTGTCACTGCCAGGCAGGAGAGGCCAGGGGCACCCAGGCTGGCACAGCACACGCTGGGCAGCCCCCAGTGATGCCCCTTCCCCGGGCCTGAGCGTGGCCATGGAGCTGAGAGCCCTGTTCCTGCTGCCACTCTGCTTCCCAGGTAGGAGAAGGGCTCGGGGCGTCCCTGGGGACAGGGAGAACCTTCCCCACCTCCTTCCTGCTGCCCTGGGAGCTCCTCACACGTCAGCACCAGGCTCTGAGCTGGGCAGTGGGTGGCAGGGAAGGGCAGCCCCAGCTCCCTGGCTGTAGGAGCATCAGGGGGGTAGCACGGTCAGGATGGATGGAGATGAGAGATCTCTGAGGCCAGGGCTTGGAACTTGGGGTTTATTGCAAAGGGCCAAGTGCAGGGGCCTTTTGGAGCTTGGGGTTTATTGCAAAGGGCCAAGTGCAGGGCCCTGCTGGGAGCTGCCAGGCACAGCTCGGAGCAGGCCCCAAAGAGGGAGAGGCAAAGAGAGAGAAGGCAAGAGCGTGGTAAAGAGAGAATGGGAGAGTAAAAGAGAGGATCAGAGGGTGAGGTTCCCGTTCCAATACAATAAATCTTCTTCTGGGCGTAGAATTTGGGGTTTATTGCAAAGGGCCTGGGTGCAGGGCCCTGTTGGGAGCTGCCAAGCACAGCTCAGAGCAGGCCTGAGAGAAGAGAGGGGGAGAGAGGATGAGAGGGTGAGAGAGTAAAAAGGCAAGAGAGCCAAAGCATAAGAGAGTAAAAAGAGTAAGAGAGTAAGAGAGGCAAGAGCTAAAAAGGCAAAGTTCCTGTTCCAATACAATAAATCTTCTTCTGTGTTGAATATTCTGATTCTCACTAACCAATCTAGTACAAGATACAAATCCTACAGCATTTCCATACAGCCTATAAGAATCATTACATTATCACACTGTGTTACATTTTAAACCCTAAAAACTCCTCTTTGTGCCCCTTCTGCCAAGCTGGCAGGGTCTGCTCTGCCCCTTGGGCCTGTCTGCAAGCAGAGGGTGTTGTTCCATCAAAAGGGGATCACCTTCAGCTGGCCATGCCATTGTTTTCCCGTTGTTCAGTAACTGAGGGATCTCAAAGCTTGCTTTCATTTCAATCTCCCTTATAGTTTCCATATTCTCAAAATCTTTTGCCAGACAATCATATTTATAAGGCTTTCCTGTTTCACCTTCCCCAACACCTGGCTCCTCCAGGTTTCCAGGATGGTCCATGCTGGGAGCACAGAGCCTCTCCCAGCCAAGCCTTTCCCACCACTCTATCCCTGCCCAGCTCCTCTAGGGCAGCCCTGGGTCAGGGCAGTGATGGTGCTCACAGGGGTCTGAGGATGAGGGAGGAGATGAGGATCTGACTCCATGTTTCAGAAGGCTGATTTATTATTTTTTGATAGATATTATATTAAAACTATATGAAAAGAATAGAAGAAAGGATTTCATCAGAAGGCTAGCAAGCAAAGGAAAAGAAATGGAATGATAATAAAATCTTGTGACTGACCAGAGTCCGAGCCGGCTGGGCTGTGATTGGCCATTAATTAGAAACAACCACATGAGACCAATCCCAGATGCACCTGTTGCATTCCACAGCAGCAGATAACCATTGGTTACATTTTGTTCCTGAGGCTTCTCAGGAGGAAAAATCCTAAGGAAAGGATTTTTCATAAAAGATGTCTGTGACACAGGGCCGTGTCCAGGGCAGTGCCAGTCCCTCAGCAGAGGGCACAGAGAGCACCCAGAGCCAGCACAGCCTCACAGCCCTGGCAAGGCTGGGCATGTGGCAGGGGAGAGCTGCTTCCCTGCCCTGCCTGCTTCCCTCTGCTCCTCCCCACCATCCCACACAGAGCCCCTGGCCCTGGGGTGCTGTGGGCAGGGGATGGTCCCCATTGGCCTGCAGGGACGAGGGGACAGCTGCAGCCACTGTGCCACACGTGGCCAGCACCTCAAGCATGAGATTTAATCCCCAGCTCAAATCTCAACGCTGCCCTTCCCATTTCCAAGCAGGTGAATTCAGCATGGGGAAGGGATTTGGGGTTCTGGAGTCCTTCCAGCCACCAGGGTCCATGGGGGAAGGTTGGAGGCAGAGTTTCCCTGTGTGCCCTGAGGGTTGTGGGCAGCTCTGCACCTTCACAGAAAGGGTGATGGGGAAGGGAAAGGGCTGCCCAGGGAGCTGGTGGAGTCACCACCCCTGCAGGTGTTCAAGAGCAGACTGGATGTGGCACTGAGTGCCATGGTCTGGGTGGCAGGGTGGTGTTAGGACATGGGTTGGGCTCGGTGATCTCAAAGGTCTTTTCCAGCCCTGTTGATTCTGCGATTCTGTCGTGCTGCAATTCTGTGGTTCTGTGATCAGCTCCCCTCTCCCTCACCACATCTGATCCTTCCAGGTCTCCAAGGCCAAGCCCCAGAAGCCCAGAGAGGATGGGAAGGGGACACTCTGCACATCCAGTGTCCTTATGCAAAGTGGACTACTGGCCAGCAGACAAAATACTGGTGCCTCTCCCTGGGAAACAGAGGATGTAAAGAACTCCTCCGTGTATACTCAAATGAAGAAACCAAACAAGCCCAGGATGGGAGAATTAAAATGAAGGATAACAAAGCTAATAAGACTGTTTCTGTCACCATAACTGGCCTCAAGGCAGAGGACTCGGGCACATATTTCTGTGCTGCTTACTACAGCTACAGCTACAGCTATGAAAAGCTAAAGACAATCTCACTGATTGTTTTCAGGGGTGAGTACCTGCACCCCACCCAAAGCCAAGCCTTGTCAGGAAACATCACTCCTTCCCCTGCTCTGCCCCCCTCTCCTCCACAGCTGAGCAGCTTCCCCTGATCCCCCCAGCCTCGCTCCCTGCTTTCCCTCCCGCACAGGGAGAGAAGGAGCCCCACAGCCCTGCCTGGTCCTGCTGGCTCCCACCTCCTGAGGGAGTTGCCCCAGGGCATGATGTGTCCCCGGTGCCCCTGTGCCCAGCACTGACTGGGCAGTGCCATTTTGGTGTTTCACAGAGCTGCTCCAGTGGGAGCTGGACACCCTGACAGTGCAGTGCCCGGAGGGCAGCGATGCCTGGTGCCGAGGACAGACTGACTGCGAAGTCGTGGTGAGCGGACAAACATTTTCAAATCAGAGAAAAATGAAATCCCTGCAAGACAGAGCATCCATGGAGCATAATGCTCGAGGGGCTCTTGTCACCATGAGGAACCTGCAGATCCGGGACTCTGGTGTGTACTGGTGTGCACTGGACTCCAGGCGCACTCGGAAAATGGAGGTCGTGCTCTCTGTGTTCAGGAGTGAGTACCTGCCATGTTCTCTATGAGTACCTGCCATGCTCTCTATGAGTACCTGCCATGTTCTCTATGAGTTCCTGCCATGTTCTGTGTCCCTGTGAGTACCTGCCACGATCTCTATGAGTACCTGCCATGCTCTCTATGAGTACCTGCCATGTTCTCTATGTCCCTGTGAGTACCTGCCATGTTCTCTATGAGTTCCTGCCATGTTCTCTATGAGTTCCTGCCATGTTCTGTGTCCCTGTGAGTACCTGCCATGTTCTCTATGAGTTCCTGCCATGTTCTCTATGAGTACTTGCCATGTTCTGTGTCCCTGTGAGTTCCTGCCATGTTCTCTATGAGTACCTGCCATGCTCTCTATGAGTACCTGCCATGTTCTCTGTGTCCCTGTGAGTACCTGCCATGTTCTCTATGAGTTCCTGCCATGTTCTCTATGAGTACTTGCCATGTTCTGTGTCCCTGTGAGTTCCTGCCATGTTCTCTGTGTCTCTGTGAGTACCTGCCATGTTCTCTATGAGTTCCTGCCATGTTCTCTATGAGTACTTGCCATGTTCTGTGTCCCTGTGAGTTCCTGCCATGTTCTCTGTGTCTCTGTGAGTACCTGCCATGTTCTCTGTGTCCAAGAGTGAGTACCTGCCATGTTCTCTGTTTTCCAGGGACCCAGAGGTATTGCAGTGCTGGGGAGGGGGTGCTGCTGTGGGATCCCCCTTTGGGGGCTCAGCACACATCCTGGGTGTTTTGCAGGGACCCAGAGGCTCACAGCCAAGGAGTCAGGCAACATCACTGTCAAGTGTCACTACAAGATCGCAGACTACAGCACTGTCACCAAAGCCTGGTGCAAAAGGGAAGAGGGCAAAACGTGCAACGTGCTGGTCACCACCAGTCCAGAGTCCCCAGCAGCCAACAGCACAGCTCAGGACGGTGTCAGGATTCAGGATGACACCCAGCAGGGCATTGTGACCATCACCATGGAGCAGCTGCAGGTGCAGGACTCGGGTGTGTACTGGTGTGCGCTCCAGGATGGCTCCGGGCTGCTCCGCATGGAGGAGATCACACTCAACGTTTCCAAGGGTGAGTATTGGTATTTTTACCAATCTAGCTGGACAGGACGTGCCTGAGCTTGTCTGGCCTTGCTGCCGAACCAAACAGTGGCCACTGTGGTGTTTCACCCCACAGACACTTTTGCCTGGCTGGGTGTGTGGTGTTTCACCCCACAGACACTTTTGCCTGGCTGGGTGTGTGGTGTTTGACCCCACAGACACTTTTGGCTGCCTGGGTGCTGCAGTTGGCACGTGGGGACAAGTCCAGGCCTGCAGGAGCTCTGGTGCTGCTGGGATGGAGCTTCCCCCCATAACAGGGTCTGATCCTCAGGTTTCCCCCTGGTGGAGAAGCTTTAAGGGGACGGTGAAGGAAAGGAGTCGGCTCTGATTGAGGGTTTGGATCAGTTCTTTAGAGTGACTTTATAGCCCCTTTAGAGTGATTCATCCTTTGGCTTTCAAAGACCTTCCCTTGGGTTGTCAAGGGAACAACTTTAGACCGGGATTTTACAGATCTGTGACTTGTGGGTTCTCTTTCAGACAATGTTTTAATGGTAAGGGAAGGCAGTGAGGGCCCTGGTCATGGCAGGGCAGCACCAGGCAGCACCATGGCTCCTGCAGCACCAAGAACAAGCAGTGCAGATGATGAGAGGGGACATTGGGATGCTCTGGACAAGTTCAGGGGATCAGGGCTGTGGGAATGCAGGGGCAGAGGTTTCACTGCTGAATGCAGAGCAACCCCACAGTGACCATTCCTCTCCTCATGTCTGTCCTTGCAGCGTTGCGTCAAGGAGGTTTTCCAGACTCTGAAAACCAAGAAACTCTTTTGGGTGACAGGTAAGGCCTAAATGAATCTCTGAGCCTGAGCACTCACAGGTTACTCATGTTGTACACCTGGGGCAGGCAGGCCCTGGGCACTCTGCCTCCTGCCTTAGAGGAATTGGATATGACAGGATCCTCACCAAAGGTGGCCTCTCCTCCTCCAGCTGCCCTAACCCTAATTCCAAAGAGGCAGATTGGTAAAATCGTGCCAGAGCCTTCTGCAGGTGCCTCTCTGCTTCTTTCTCTTCTCTCTTCTGCACTCCACATGAACAGAATCCCCAAATTCTGCCCCTCAGCCTCGACTTTGCTCCCTCCTGTCTGAGTACTTAGCAATGGGATTGTTAAACAATTTAACAATTTCAGTCCCTGGCTGCTCTTATTCCATTCACCAGTTAAATGTGAAGGATTTTTCTCCCTTTGTACATCTGCTGTCATCAGTGCTGCAGCAGCACCTAAGAGCAGAACCATCCCTGCTCCAGAGAGCCTGGAATTGTGCTTGGAGCTCTGAACAGGGGCTTGTTTCTAAAGCCTGGAGAATGGTTTAGGAAAAGCTCAGGAGGTACAGCCAAGTAGAAAAATCAAGAATCAGGAACCAGGGAAAGTCCCCAGTGCCTCTTTTCCGCTTCTGAATCAGCAGGGACTTGCCCAGGCTCATAGAGGGAGGACCCTGCAGGATCTCTCTTGCAGGAGAACCAGACCCTCCTTCCAACAGAGCACATAAAACCTGTCCCTGTCCCTCTTTTGGTCCCTGTTTGGTGATGGGCTGTTGAACCATCCCACCCTGGTGACTGCCTTCCTCTCCTCCAGCTGCAGTGGGAACACCTTCCTCATCCTGTCCGTGGTGCTGCTCTTCCTGCTGCTCCTGGCCCTGCTCACCTCCACAGCCCTGGCTGTCAGGTACTACAGGCTGCTCCTGAGAACAGGTACGTGGGGCTGGGAGTGTCCCAGGTGAGCTCAGAGCCCTGGCAAGGTCAGTGTCTGGGTTTGGAAAGCCAGGCAGGAGCCTCCCCTGAAATGGAGAATGTGAACCCTCCCCACCCCTCCCAGTTGCTATAAATTTTAAATTAAGGGGCTCTCAGGCAGAAATATGGGAGCAGAAAATAACAGTTCTTTAATAGGGAAAGGAAAAAAAATAAAAGGATAAAATAAATAGTGCAGTAAACTGGAACAGCACTGCCAGAGTCAGAGCCCAGCCTGACACCCTGTGGGTCAGGGTGCTGGCAGCAGAACCATTGGAATTGTGGCTCAGCCCTCCTGCAGTGCCAGGGCTGGTTCTGCTGGAGCAGGGATCCTGGAGAAAGGTGCAGTCTCTGCCTCTGAAGATCCAGGGCAAGAGGCAGCTGCTGTTCCTCTGGGCAATCCAGTGCAGAAGCTGTGCTGGTGTTCCAGAATCTCCAGATTATATCCAGGTAGGAATGCTTGGCTCCTCCCCCTGGGCTCACATCTCCCAATGGGATGCTGTAGTTCTTATCAGCCATGCAGGGACATTCCATAGCTGTTATCAGCACAGGTTCCCTCCCGAGGGAGGAGTGATTGTGGTCACTCAAAGAGAGAGATAAAGCAAACTGCCCACTTGACAAAGGTTACCTGCCCTACAGATGGCAACTGAAAACATCTTGCATTGCAATCTTCAACAGTCAGGTTGAAGGTCTCAAGGCAGGCTCCTCCCTGCCTCCCCTCTGAATGAATCAAACCCGGGTTCCTCCAGAGGTGCAAACACCTTAGAGGAGCAGTAAAGAGAGCAAAAAGTGTTCCCTAGGCCCAGGGCAGAGGCACATCCCATCACTGGGCCCTCCCAAACCTCCTCAGGCAGAGCTTTTCATGGATTTCTCCACATCTAAACCCTCTGATTTTGCCTCATTCTCTAAAGGTATCAGAGAAGCAGAGGACACCAGTGACAGAGCAGAGGGCACAGCACAGGTAAGGAAAATGAAACATTTCCCACGTGGTGCCAAACCCCTGACCAGCAACCTGGGAGGAACTGTCAGACCTGGTGAGGAGCTTGGAGCTCAGTTTGGTTATAAACAGGAGGGAAATGGTATTTAATGGCAGCAGAGAGAGGAATATTCATAGCTGGAGAGAAAATCAATGCAAGGAAACTCCAGCAGGAGCAAACCCAGTGGAGCAAATTCTGGTAACCCCTGAGAAGAGACTCAAGGAGTAGCAAGCAGGATCAGAGCACGAGGCTCCACCTGTATCCAGGAGAGGTGGGGAACAAAAGAGTTCTCTGTCCCTCCACCTCTGTCACAAGCAGAGGTAAAATTGGACACAGCTTCTTTCCTTGGGAAGGAAAAACAGAGGTAAAATTTGGCACAGCTTCTCCTTTGTTTGGGAAGGAAAATCAGACACAGCTTCTCCTTTCCTTGGGAAGGAAAAATCAGAGGTAAAATTTGGCACAGCTTCTCCTTTCCTTGGGAAGGAAAAATCAGAGGTAAAATTTGGCACAGCTTCTCCTTTCCTTGGGAAGAGGTAAAATTTGACACAGCTTCTCCTTCACTTGGGAAGGAAAAATCAGAGGTAAAATTTGGCACAGCTTCTCCTTTCCTTGGGAAGGAAAATCAGAGGTAAAATTGGACACAGCCTCTCCTTCACTTGGGAAGGAAACCCAGAGAAAACCAGAGGTAAAATTTGGCACAGCTTCTCCTTTCCTTGGGAAGAGGTAAAATTTGGCACAGCTTCTCCTTTCCTTGGGAAGGAAAACCAGAGGTAAAATTGGCCACAGCTTCTCCCTCTCCTTGTGGGAAAATCTCCTTCTCCTGGCAGCAGCTGTGCCCTGGCACTGACTCATGCCAACAAGAGTTTTCCCTTTCTTTTCCCAGCCTGGCAGCACTGGGAGGAGGGAGAGTTCTCAGGATGGCAGCAAAGGGCCAGCATACATCAACCTGGATGTGCAATCCCATGCCAGCCCTGAGGATCCTCTTTACTGCAACGTGGAGCCAAGCCAGGCTCCCAGGAACCCCCAGCACGTGGAATATGCCATCATTGCCTTCAACCAGTCCCCAAGGACCGGCAGGGAATGAAGCACAGAGTCCCCAGCAAGCCAGGAATGGGAGGAAGGAACTGGAATACACAGTGGGAATGAGGACAGGAGGTGTGTGGAGGGACAAGCTGAGTTTTGCTCTGTGTGTGTGTGGTGTTTCCTGAGCATTTTCAGCCCTCCCTCCTGCTTTAGGAAGCAGAGGTTTTGCCACACTTGTGGCAGATTGCCTCAGGTCAGGCAGAGCTGTGGGGGAATTGCCAGGATGATCTCTTGTACATCTGCTTTTCCAATTCCATTAAAGTGCAGAAGCTTGGAGAGGCAGGTGTGAAAAGGAGCAGTGTGGGCATGGCTGGGTGGGATATCCTGGTACAAATCCTGCCCCAGTCCCAAGAATTCAGCTCCTGTGGCCAAGCAAACTCATTTCCAGTGCTCCAGGGATCAAACCTTGCTGTAGCTGGGTTAGTTTTCATGGAAGGGGCTGGGGATGTGAGTGCTGGATTCCAAGAAAAAGCAGAACCAGCTCCTGCACTTCCCTGTCTCTGCTGGAAACGCCCCAAATGACGCATTTTATTTAACAGTCATGTGGGCAGCAACGTGAAATGAGTTTTTGGGGCTCAGTTTTTGCATTGCACAGATCCATTTTAGGTCTTCTTCTAGTCAAGCTGATAGAACTTCATAGTTTTTAGTTTACAATTCACTTACAATTGTTGAAACGATTGTAAAGAAATGTTATTGAAAGGCTCAGCCAGCACAAAGTCCTCACAAGAGCCTATTTTTAAATTTACTTCTGTTTTATCATTACTTATGATCTCTCAGAAGCATTTGCTTGTGAGTTTTTTTTTTCACTAGAAATGAGATTTCCACAAATACCACTCCTTATTTCCCTGCCCCAAGCCCTGCTGGAGGTGACAGCCCAAAGGGGCCTGACCCAGCCCTCATTCACATCCAACAGGCTCCTCTTGCCAGGCCTGCAGCAGGGGGAGGCTGGTGGAAATTTTTTGAGATTTTTTCAGATGAGTTGACCTGACAAAAAAAAAAAAAAAAAAAGGAAAGAAAGAAAATGGTTCTGGAAATGGTTCATTCCATTTCCCATTCCATTCAGGCCAACATTCCCCACACAATTTGCCCTTCGTGCAGTTGCACTGGGCCAAGCTGTGGAAGAGCAATAGCAAAAAAAAACCAGTGGAGTGGAAGAGAGGCATTTTTTGGGGAAGATTCTTGAGGAGAATCCAGATTTGTGCTCACTGGAATGAGAAGGAACAAAAGCTGCAATCAGTCACCTGACAGAGAATTTCTGGTCACTGTGAGGGACCATTTTCTTAAGCACTAACTCGAGGAAAGGCACATTCAGGAATGGCCAGGCCTGCGGGTTTTGCACCACCCCAGTTTCAAAGCCAGGGTCTGTTTGTACTTTCATGGGAGATCTCCGAGTAAATAAATCAAAAACCCTCAAAAATTCAAATCCAGCAGCCCACCCCCACCAGTCTGCTGATATTCCTGAGCACTGTGGCATTGGCTGGCTCAGAATCCCCAGCAGGGATCCTGTGGGTGGGTGACACAGGTGGGTGCTGGGCTTGTTTGAAGCACCCACAGCTCCTCCTGTGGCTCCTGTGCCCCTGCCCTGCTCCGTGTGCTTGGATTTCACACAAGGATGCTCCCTGCACAGGCTCTTCCTCCTAAAAACCCAGGGGCTGATGTCCTTGTCCTCCTTCACCCTTAGGATGCTGCCAGGAGATTCTCCCTTTCAGCTTTCCAGAAATTCCCCCCATGCACAGCTCCTGTACATAATTTATTGTGATTGATCTCCATCGTGCCAGCACCAGGGGGTGGATTCCCACCACCACAGGGATTTTGGGAAGGAATTTTTCCCTGTGAGGACGGGCAGGCCCTGGATCCCTGAAAGTGCCCAAGGCCAGGCTGGACAGGGCCTGGAGCAGCCTGGGATGGTGGAAGGTGTCCCTGCCATGGCAGGGATGGAGCTGGATGGGCTTTAAGGTCCCTCCAACCCAAACCACTGTGGGATTCCATGGTTCCATGAGATCCTGCTCCATGGTTCCATGAGATCCTGCCCTGCTGGGAGCAGACACCCAGGCCACCTCGTGCTGCTCCCTCCCGGGCTGCCTGAGCTGGGCAGTGCTGATGCCTGAATTTCCAGCCCACGAGGGCAATGCCTGTCCCTGGAGCATTGCTCAATGTGCAGGATGAAGAAGATGCCAAGTTCCTGTGCTCCTTCCTTCCGGGCCAGCGAGCAGGGGGAGAGGAGCTGCCCCTGGGCTGAGCCAGCTCCTCTCCTGCTCCTCTCCTGCTCCTCTCCTGCTCCTCTCCTGCTCCTTCTCTGCTCAGCCCCATGGAGAAGCTCCTGAACCTCACCTTGCTCCTCCTGTCAGGTAAGATCCACACCTGGTTTTGGGGTCAGGTAAAGGGGAAAGGATTGGGGCAAAGCTTTGTCTCTGTCTGAAGGCTCCATCCTCAGTTTTCCCTTTATTTACCAAAGGGTCACCCATCAAAGGGGGATCCCAGAGCTCCCAGGTTTCCTCACAGGGATCCTTCTGAGTCAGAACAGGAACCACTGATGAGAGAAGTCCCGTTTGCAACGTGAAATTGCAAAATCTTGGGTTGTTTGCATTAGCAAATGGCATTTACATAGATGCAAATGATCACAGGTGAGGTTCAGGGCGAGGGAAATGAAACCCAGTGAAGGGCACAGCTCTGAAATCCCAGACACCTGGGTTTTCCAGCTTGGAAAGGAATGAAATGAGGTGCAGGGCCCAGCTGGGGCTCTCTGCAGGGCTTTGGGGATCCCAGATCCTCACAGCAGGGAAAGGCAGCAGACTCGGGCTGTGGGAGCACAGGAACCTGTCCCAAAAACTGGGATGAGTTTGGGGAAAGCTCACTGTGCTTTGGCCAGTGGCACCCAGGAAGAGAGAAGGAGCACCAACAGTTCATGATCTGTCAGCAGAGTTGGTTGAAAAGAGAATGACAAATTTTCCAGAGGGACATCAGGGAATCTTTCAGTGATTCTGTTTGAGAGATGTTTTGCAGTGCTGTGGGAATTCTGGGGCTGAAGGGGCAGAGCTGGAGGAGGGAGGGGGAAATGGGAGAAGCAGTTCAAGAGTTTTGGAGGGATTGAACAGGACTGGACTGGATATTCCATGAGGTAAACTCTGACTGGAGCAACACATCAGGATAAAGCCCTGTAGGTGTTGGATTGCACAGATCCATTTTAGGTCTTCTTCAAGTCAAGCTGAAAGAACTCCATGGTTTTTAGTTTACAATTCACTTACAATTGTTGAAATAATTGTAAGAAGTGTTATTAAAAGGCTCAGCCAGCACAAAGTCCTCACAAGAGCCTATTTTTAAATTTACTTCTGTTTTATCATTACTTATGATCCCACAGACGCATTTGCCTGTGACTTTTTTTCACTAGAAATAGAGATTTCCACAAATACCACACTGCATGTCTCTCTGGAAGTATTAATAGCTCAGACTGTCCCCTCTGCCTGTCACAAAGAGGAATGGAAATTACAAATAAGGAACCAAGACAATTAAAAAAAAAAGTCATGCAGACAAAGACCAGTTGTCAACATGGTTAAAATTAGTAAGGTATTAAAAGATGGGGTGGAAAAAAAAGTTAAGCTGGATTTGATAACTGGGATTCAGAAGGAACCAGTGAGCAGGGCACTGGTTTGGAGGTGTCACTGGGACAAATTCCAGAACATCTGAGCCAAGATCTGAGCACAGTGGGTTGGTCATGGGGGAAGTGGACAGGTGACATCCTACAGGTGACAACCCTGAGGGTGACAGCCCTCGACAGGTGATAGCCCTGTGGGTGACAGACATCCTTCAGGTGACAGCTTATGGGTGACAGCCCTACAGGTGACACTCCTACAGGTGCTAACCACACAGGTGACAGCCATATGGGTGGCAGCACTACAGGTGAGGCCCTGTGTGTGACAGTTCACAAGTGACAGCTCTACAGGTGACAGCCCTACAGATCACACCCTATGGGTGACAGTCCCACAAGTGACAGCCCTACAGGTGACATCCCTATGGGTGACAGCCCTACAGATCACACCCTATGGGTGATAGTTCCACAAGTGACAGCCCTACAGGTGACACCATATGGGTGACAGTTCCACAAGTGACAGCCCCATAGGTGACAGTCCCTATGGGTGACAGTCCTGCAGGTGACACCATATGGGTGACAGTTCCACAAGTGACAGCCCCATAGGTGACAGCCCTACAGGTGACATCACAAGACAATGAAAATGACGTTCAGCATCCCCACAATGAGGGGTAGACGTGGAAGAGCCTTGGCTCACCCCTCCCTGTGTCCTGCTGTCCCTCCGTCCCTCCATCCCTCTGTCCTTCCATCGCTCCATCCCTCCGTCCCTCTGTCCCTCCATCCCTCCATCCTTCCATCCCTCCATCCCTCCATCCCTCCGTCCTTCCATCCCTCCGTCCTTCCATCCTTCCGTCCTTCCATCCTTCCGTCCTTCCATCCCTCCATCCTTCCATCCCTCCGTCCCTCTGTCCCTCCATCCCTCTGTCCCTCCATCCCTCTGTCCCTCTGTCCCTCCGTCCTTCCATCCTTCCGTCCTTCCATCCCTCCATCCCTCCATCCCTCCTAGCATCCTGCGCTGCCGAGAACGTCACCGTGGTGGCCGTGGAGGGCGACACCATTTCCGTCAACTGCTCGTACGACGCGCGGCAGTGGTGGCGGGAGAAGAGCTGGTGCCGGCAGCTGGGCCGGCGGCGCTGCCAGCCCGTGGTGAGCGCCCCGCCCGCCTGGCTGCCCCTGCCCAGGCCCAGCAGGGGCAGCACCTCCATCAGGGACAACGCCCGCGCCGGGCTCCTCACCGTCACCATCAGGGGCCTGCGCCGGGAGGACGCGGGGCTCTACCAGTGCCAAACGGAGTTCCTGGGCCACACCCAGAGCCTGAGGAGGGTGCAGGTGGAAGTGCTGGCGGGTACGTGATGGGGGGGCCGAGTTAGGAGGGTTCCTCAAGGAATTTCAGGGGTTCCTCGAGGAATTTCAGGGGTTCCTCGAGGAATTTCGCAGGTTTCTGTTGGGATTTTATGGGTTCCTACGGGAATTTCACAGGTTCTTATTGGAATTTCACATGTTCCTACTGAAATTTCATGGGTTCCTACTGGAATTTCACAGGTTCTTATTGGAATTTTACATGTCCCTGCTGGAATTTCATGGGTTCCTGTTGGAATTTCACAGGTTCCTACTTGAATTCCACAGGTTCCTAGTGAAATTTCACGGGTTCCTACTTGATTTTCACATGTTCCTACTGAAATTTCACAGGTTCCTACTTGAATTTCACATGTTCCTACTGAAATTTCACAGGTTCCTATTGGAATTTCATGGGTTCCTATCAGAATTTTATGGGTTTCTGTTGGAATTTCACATATTCCTACTGGAATTTCACAAGTTCCTACTGGAATTTCCTGGGTTCCTACTGGAATTTCACAGGTTCCTATTGGAATTTCACAAGTTCCTACTGGAATTTCCTGGGTTCCTATCGGAATTTTATGGGTTCTTATTGGAATTTCACAGGTTCCTATTGGAATTTCATGGGTTCCTGCTGGAATTTCACATGTTCCTACTGGAATTTCACAGGTTTCTATTGGTATTGCGTGGGTGTCTGCAGCTTCCCAGGGCCCACTTGAGTCAACGTCTACTTTTGTTTCGCTCTAAGGAGGTTCTGTGTTTCACTGCCTCTCTTTATTCCTGATTTCCAGCAGTGTGGCCTCACTGTTAGACGGTATCTGACACATCCTCATTGCTCCCAGTGCCCCTGGGTTACCTGCCCAGCTGAACATCACCCAGAAATAGCTGCAGACTAAACTGTTGTGTTTCCATCAGCAGCTGACCTGGTGACCCACGTGCCAGAGGAGCCCAGAGCTGTGCAGAGCATCTCCAGGTGAGCCCAAAACTCCTCATGCTGAGATCTCCAATCTTCCGAGGACTAAGGCAGCATCACAAGAGATTTTTTCAGGGTTGGACCATCCTCTTCATGGTTGTGTTTCTGGTTCCCCACAGGCCCCCTCCTGACGTGGGTTTCACCATTTTCTACATCCTGGCTGGATTCCTGGTGGCCAAGTTCGTGGTGGCTGTGCTGGTTGGGGCTGTTGCCCACAGCAGGAAGAACAGGGAGAGAGGGCAGAACCCAGAACTGGGTGAGTGCCACTGGCAACTATTTACAGACTCAAACAGAATGGGACACTCGAAAATCAGTGCCTTGAGCTGTTTTATTTCAACATCAGTCTCAACACTTAACAATGGAGACACTCGATGTGAACAGCTCACTGATTTAAGCAGAATGCCAAAGAAACGTAATGTTACAACACAGCATAAAGCAAAATCTTCCCAAGTTTCAGCCAATCAGACATAGAGCAAAAGCATATTGACATTACTTCTACCCAATTACATGGAGCACACATAGCTTCAGTTAAAACAATAGCAGCCTATTTTCTAACACAATGGCTCATTCATGTTAGCCTTCTAAAATATACATTAAGTCAATTTGTTGCAACCAAAAAGGACAAAGCACACAGGCTTATTGTTCTATTTCTCATGTCTAAGCTGCAGCCTAAAACTCTTTCTGCTATCTTGGCATTTCTCTGTCCTTGCTGGCTTTTTGGGGCCTGCTTTTTTACCATTTTCTCAAAACCCTCTACCTTTATGGATTCCAGCAGGTGAGCAGCAGGTGCTCCCAGTCCCTGCCGACCTTGGACATGATGGAATCGGCCTCTCCTGGGAGAGCTCTGCGTGAGCCGAGCCAAAGGGAATCCATGGAAAAGGCAGATCCATGGAAAAGGCCGCCTGCCATAAGAAAAGGATCACTACTAAACACAGGTCTGGAAGAATCTGTCACTCTGGAGAGGTTCCCATCTTCTTCATCACCTCTTCCCCTTGGTGTCTCACCCCCAGGCAGTTATTCCAGACCTCATTCCCAGGACTACTCCATCATGGGCTGAACTGACACCCATCAACTTCCTGTCACCTCAGGTGACAACAGATTCTGTCCTTCCAAGGTGAGGAAGAGCAGCTCCCAAAAGCTGCTTGGGACAGTGGGGATGCTTGGAGAAAACCCCTGTGAAAAGGTGTGAGGAGCTGCAGGACACCCCAGGACAGGGATGGGGTCCTCTTGCACCCCTGAGCCAGCTTCTCCTCTCTGAGGGGACTTTGTGAACATAGGAGCTTTCTCTCTGTTGGTCTCCCTGTGTTTTCTCCCAGGCTCCAAACCCATGGGCACTCACGTTTCTTTTTCCCTGCAAAACTGAGTAAAATCCAGCTGATTTCTCTGGCTTGGCGTGGGTTCCTGCAGGTGACAGTCGTGTCCCAGAGCCAGGGGTGATGCTTGGGACACCCTGGAGTGTTCAGAACATCCAGGAGCACTCAGAGCCAGCAGGACAGGCTGGAACGTCCAGAGCCAGCAGGAGCAGCAGCTCAGAGCCCAACCTCTCATTGCCCACAGAAGCAATGACTGAAATTTGCTTATTTTAATTACACTTTTGGGTTCTCGTTTTTAGAGTAGTTCTGTGTTTTGTCCAGAAATTGACAAATTTCAATTCCCACCATTGAAATTCATGGTGGGACGTCTGGCAACCTTTGTCTTTCCAAGGTCTTTCCCTCCCAAAACTGTGAGGTTCTCAGTCTTAAATCAGCAACTTTTGGGGAAGAAAATCTGTGTTTGTTGCTCTCTCCTGGTCTGGACGGTGACTTGCTCTATGACTGCATCCACAGAGAGGAATTTGCCATCTGAAATAAAAACATCTCCAAGGAAATAAAAAGAAATTAATCAATGACTTACTGATTACCATCAAAACCAATGGATGTAATTTGGTGGGATTGTATTAATCAAAACCAAATGGGTTTGGGGCAGAAACATTTCTGGGGCTGGTTCTGTCCTTCCCTTCCCCTGTTCCCTCTGTGCTGACGTTGGCTCTGTGACCTGCACACTCTATGGGGGTTGTTTTTTCCTCTCTTCTCCCCCCTCAATGAATCACAACTCGAGGTTCATCAGAACTTTTGGGGCTGTTTGCAAAAAAAAAAAAAAAAAAAAACCAAGAAAAAGGAACTCCCTGTCCCTCAGTGCTCCCATCCAGTGAGAGCCAACAGGAAACTCCAGCTCTGTGTTGGGTGCAAAATTCTGTCCCAAATTCAAGGTAACTCTGATCAAAGCCCCGTTAAAGCTCACATTCCCTTTTAGCACACATCCCCTCTGCTCTTCCCCAATTTCATGGGGCAGGGAGGAAATATTTGCTTATTTTAATTACACTTTTGGGTTCTCGTTTTTAGAGTAGTTCTGTGTTTTGTCCAGAAATTGACAAATTTCAATTCCCACCATTGAAATTCATGGTGGGACATGACCGAGGCTGATGTCCAGAAACCAAAACCACTTCAGTCAAAACCAGGTGGCTCAGTTTGTACCCAGCTGCTGAGGGTGGTGATGGGGTGAGAGAAAAGAAAGACCTGGATGCAGAATTCTGGAAAATAATTGCACTTTTCTAACAGCACAGCACCTTGGTGGGCAAACCCAGAGGAAAGCTGGGGTGCATTTCCTTTTCAAAGTGACTCAGTTTTTTAAATAGCAGGGAGCTACAAACCCAAATACAGGAAACTGCTCGTGTCTGGCAGCAGCTGATACAGCACCACAGCCAGGCCAAGTGAGCTCCTTCTCCTGGAATATTCACCATCAGAGTAGCAATTACTGCCCATTCTGGTGAGATTCAGCCAAGTGGTAAAAAATCTGCTTTATTTTAAACCCATGAGATTTTTCCTGGGCTTCAGAGAGACAAGCGATGCATTTGACATGTTCTAATAAACAAGGGGCTTCTTGGAAAATATTTGTCTGCTTTATAGCATCAATTGTCATCAGCTTGAGCTCCTGGGGGGGAATTTACACTGCAATGTAGTGATTTGTTAGAAATAACTCTGTATTTCAGAAATAACTCTGTACTTCCCTGTTTGTTGTTTATTAACACACACCTGTCCTCCAGGACAAATCCAGCCTGACTTTATTACAAATTACAGCCCTGTGGATCCAACTGCAGAATCCTGTGATCGTGGGGATATGAGCAAACATCCCTCAGGGATTATGGATAAATCCCCAAATTTTGCTGAGATTTTCCTCCTAATTCCGTGAGCTGCAGACCGAGGATGCTGAACAGGACACAAAACTGGGTTTAATTTTTGGATATCAAGATTGCAGGAAGACTCCAGCCTAGGTATTGGGTGGCAGGGGAGGGAAGAAGGTGGAAAGGCAGGGAATACATCCTGGGTTGGATAAAATCTGCTCTGTGAGTGACTCTGCAGTGCTGAAGGTGAGGGTGAGAGAGAAAAGTAAAATTTCTTGCTGACTGCTTTGGTGTGACTACACAACACCAAGCTTTTTTTTACCATTATATCCAAGATGATTTTATTATTCTACTGCAAATTGTCTGAAAAAAAAAAAGAAGCTTGAAAATTACATCATAATAAAGAAACTGATTCTAACTTCCCAAACAGGCTTGCATGATTGTTCTCCTCATTTCCTGCCCAGCTTCCCATTCTCTGATCTCTTACATGCTGTCATTTCCTTCTTTCTGTTTGTTTGTTTGTTTGCATTAGGGTTATTTTTTGTGTGTCATCATCACTGCATTGACCAATTTGAATTCATGACTGCCAGCTTTGTGCTCTGGGGGTTTTGAGATGGTGAAATGTTGATGTGGAAGTTTGTGCTGCCCTCCCCCAGCCCATCACGAAATTCCCAACACACAACAAAAACTCCTCAGTTTATAAATTTTATTAGCTGGAGGGTGTACACAGTACTTACAATTGCATCTATTAAAGACCAAAATACACTTGAAAAAATGCATCATATAAAAAAAATTAAAAACTTTGAACTATGTACAAACTTTGCCTGACGTTACGTTAAGCTCAGGACCCTCCCACGCCCCTTCACAAAGAAAAGTTGATTTTTCCCCTCTTTTTAACATGCATTTAGCATCACTTGAGGACCATTTCCTTCCAAATCCTGATCTTTACACTCCTATAAATCTGGGTTTTGATGGGTTTGATGCTTCACTGCTCCGGGTCAATCAAACACATTTCTCCCCAAAACTCTTCTTTCATCCTCACCCCTAAAGTGAAGTTTTTGCTCAAGTGTAGCCAATCTACAAAGAATTATAATTTAATTACTAGGGAGGTTTGAACTGGACACGTCTCCAGTTTTCACAGATTTGCCTGCAAATGAAAGCAGAAGTTTTTGGTACCGTGGTGTTGGCTGCTGGCTCCAACCTCACCAAATAAACACAAACTTTCAGCAGTGATACACAGAACACAAAACAAAGGAAAAAAATATGATAGGAGCACTTGGGCTTTCACATCACTATTTAAAATATTAACAATAAGACTTTCTAGAACACAAATCTTTATTTCTTCACACACAACCTACAACAGCAGATCAGAGAACCTAGATATGAAGGGATATTGGGAAAAAGTTTGCAAGTTCTTTAAGAAAAGTAAATTATTTATTTTAAAAAATGAAACAAAATCTATGTCAGAGCAATAATCTTGCTTCCTGAATTTCCAGCTCTCAAAAAGGTGTTTCAGGACAGAGATTTACCATCAACTGAAGAGCAAAAAACATCACAGAGAGGGTCTGACTCCAGCACGAAAATATTCCTCCAACAAAATGTACAGATGCTCCAAAAAAAAAGAAAAATTTACAGTAATGCTGCAAATTCAACTAAAATCCCTTAAGGAGAGCTGCACATTCCTGGCATGGGGGAGAGCCCAGGAAATGCTGGGTGAGTTTCAGGTGCCAGCTGAGCAAAACCAGTGCTGGAACTGGACAAGGATTTAAGGCAGAAGCAACCAGAGGCCCTGAGGATGCCATCGATGTTAAAAATGCCCTTGGAATTATTAGAAATAAATCGCAATTAAGAGCTGTGAGCAGAGTGTCAGGTGACTCATCTAACTTGGGACAGAAACTGAAAGGAAGGAGATGGATTGGCCTGGCAGGAGCCAGGGCAGCTCCTCCTGCAGCTGCAGGCGTCCCCGAGTGTCCCTGAGTGTGTGGGAGGGACAGGAGCTGGGACCACAGCAAGGAACTGAGCCTGAGCTGCCTTTAGAGAGATCCAACCCCAGCAGGATCACAGCAAGGAACTGAGCCTGAGCTGCCTTTAGAGAGATCCAATCCCAGCAGGATCACAGCAAGGAACTGAGCCTCTTTTAGGGATCCAATCCCAGCAGGATCACAGCAAGGAGCTCAGCTGCCCTCAGAGATCCAATCCCACCAGGATCACAGCAAGGAGCTGAGCCTCTTTTAGAGATCCAACCCCAGCAGGATCACAGCAAGGAACTGAGCCTGAGCTGCCTTTAGAGAGATCCAATCCCAGCGGGATCACAGCAAGGAACTGAGCTACCCTTGGAGATTCAACCTCACCAGGATCACAGCAAGGAGCTGAGCTGCCCTCAGAGAGATCCAATCCCAGCAGGATCACAGAAGGAGCTGAGCTGTCCTTAGGGATCCAATCCCACCAGGATCACAGCAAGGAGCTCAGCTGCCCTCAGAGATCCAATCCCACCAGGATCACAGCAAGGAACTGAGCTGCCCTTAAAGATCCAATCCCACCAGGATCACAGCAAGGAGCTCAGCTGCTTTTACAGATCAAATCCCACCAGGATCACAGAAGGAGCTCAGCTGCTTTTACAGATCCAATCCCAGCAGGATCACAGAAGGAGCTGAGCTGCCCTCAGAGATCCAATCCCAAACCCCTGTGCAGCTCCTCCTTGTCCCTCCACCTGAACAGGCTCCCTCCTCCTCCAGGACTGCCTGCTCACAGCAAGGATCCAACATTCCTCCTCCCTCTCAGGTTTAGTATTTTTATTTCATCCAAAGGAAACAGAATTTTCCAGGCTCTGTTCTTTTGTATCCTCTTGGTTTGTCTCCTCCACTTTGTCTTTAGCCATAAGCTTCCAGTAAATGGAATAATGGGAGGGAGAAATGTCATTTCCAAGCTGCATTTCCTTGTCACTTGAATTCAGCATTCACTGGACTGAACCCAGTCTCACCCATCCTTGGCAGCATTTCCTCACTCTGCAGCTTCACCTGGCCAGGTTCACATTCACCCAGCACATTCCCAACCCCAAATTTCACTGCTGTGATCCAGTTTGAGCTACAGGACACAAAAAAACCTGGAGATGCTGGGATTCCAGCAGGCAGATGATCCCCAGAGCAGCTGTGTAACTCATCAAGGTGAGCAGTGCAATGGGGAGAAATCACCTGTTAAATGCTTTTAACTACTGCTCCCATCACCAAAATTCAAATTATAATAGAGCAGGCTTAGAGTCTAAATTAAAACTCTGTTCTGTGGAGATGCTCAGACAAAGCCAGCTGCAGGTCATGGGAAAATCCTATTTTTTAATAATGTAAGTATTGCTCCTTTGCTAAGTGCCACTTCTGTTTTGTTTTTAAGAGCTTAATTTATAAAAAGCATGAAAGGTTCATCAGTATCTGCTGAGTCCTTCAGGCAGCTCAGGCTGAGCTGCCCCAGCTGCTGCTGTCCTGAACAATCCCTCACTCTGGAACTGTAGAAATGATTCAGGCATCAGAAACTCCATCCCAGGCATGGCCAAGTGGCACCACTGTGACACTGGGGGCTCCACATCTCTTGGAGGAACCGTGGACTTCACTGGCAGGTGAGAAAAAAAAGATTTAAAAAAAAAAAAAAATCCTTTGGAAGAGAGTCACTGAAAAGCTTCAATCCTTTCTGTACTCACATCCAGTTTTCTTCCAAAGCAACAAGGACTGGCAATGAACATCCAAACCCAGGCAGAGACTGATTTACTGACCCAATAATCCCCCCCACATCTCCCTCTCCCACCCCACTTGCAACAGAGACACAACACATCGAGTCCTGCAGTAATCTTGACTATTTCTAGCACTGATTGGATGGCTGAACCTTTCCCAGAGAAGAGCTTCTTTACACATTTACAAGGTGGAATTGAAAAGAATCCCCTTCAGTTTCTGCCAGGGTCAGAAGTGCAACAGCAATGCCCAGCTCAGGGAAAACCAAGTCCAGAGGGGTGAGGAGTGGATGGAATAACAAATCTCAAGCCCAGCCCTGTGGTGCAGCCACTCAGTGCTGGCTGGAGGAGCTGGGATCTGCCCCTGGACAGGGCTGAGGTGGGAAAATGAAGGAAAAGCAGAGATGAGCACTCGGACTCTGAATTCCCTGTGCTGGATCAGGAGAGGGCACCGAGGAGTTCTGGAAGGTTCTGTTTGGAGAGTTGAAACCTCAAGCACGTCCTCAACACGTGGTGCTCGCTCTGTGGAAAAGGACAGGCTGTGACATGGAGATTGTCCCCCTCCAGGATTCACTGGGCACTCTGGGCAGGCAGGACAGGCTGGCAGGAGGGGTGGGAATTCCCTTCAGGTGTTTTTCCCTGGAAGCAGGGGTTAGGAGACCCTGATCATCTGTGTCATTGCTTCTTCGTTGCTTTGAGTTGGATCCTGCAGACACAAAAGGGTGGAAATTCCACATTTTTCCATGAGGCAGAGAGAACCACGCACAACCATCAGGAAGAGACAATCCTGCACTTCCCTTGATCCCCAACACTTTTCTGTCCTGCTTTTCCTGAGTTTTACAGGCCACAAAAATCCTGACTACCTCCAGGGAATTTGTTGTTTCTGCTATTTAGGACCAGTATTTAGGAATGATTTTAGCTGAAAATAAGAAACACTCCCTAAAGGCATAGGACTGCTCTAAAGCACTGAGCAACCACAGAACCTGTTCATTCTACTCCATTATGTCCCTTCCTTTGAAAAATGCCTTGCACCTTTTATGCAAATCAAGCTGCAGCTAAGAATCAGATATTCCCATTTTTTAATTTTCCATCAGATGTAAAGATAAGGAGTCTCTACCTTTCATTGATGTCCTGAAAGACCACCCCAGTCCCCAGCCAGAAAGGCTCTTTTACACACACAGAATGTTTGTGTGCATTTACCCTAAGAACTACAAAGTGAGCACACTTCCATCTACATTATTGTCATTTAATTCCTCAGGGCAAACACCCCTTGCTCTCCACAAGCAGTGACAGGAGGTTTTATTCCCAGCTTTTATTTATTTTACGCTTGGAATAAATCTAAAGGCAGGCAGGGCCAAGGGGCAGCAGACGAAAAATTCAGAGGCAGGGAGGGACAAGCAGCCAAGCCCCAAAACCCAAAGCAAGCAGCACAGAGACACTTGTGGAGTGTGTCCTGAAGGGCTGGGAGGGGATGTGCCCCAGAGCCCACTCACCTGCATGTGAGGGCTGTCCTTTTCCTTGGGGGAGAAGAAGCGGCCGCCCTCTCCCCGCTTCCTGGCCATGGCGTGCCGGTGCCGCGACTCGTGCAGGTATTTCTGCAGGGAGGAGAGCAGCTCAGGGAGCATTCCTGGAAATTCCCAGTCCCCATCCACCCATCCTCTGCCCCACAACCCTCCCAGTCACTGCCTTGCCAGAGGAAATTCCCAGTCACTGCTTTTCCAGAGGAAATTCCCAGTCCCCATCCACCCATCCTCTGCCCCACAACCCTCCCAGTCACTGCCTTGCCAGGGGAAATTCCCAGTCATTCCTTTTCCAGAGGAAATTCCAGCCCCCATCCACCCGTCCTCTGCCCCACAACCCTCCCAGTCACTGCTTTTCCAGAGGAAATTCCCAGTCATTGCTTTTCCAGAGGAAATTCCCAGTCACTGCTTTTCCAGAGGAAATTCAAATCCCCATCCATCCCCTGCCCCATAGATTCCCTATCACTGCCTTCCTAGCTGAAATTCCCAGTCATTGCTTTTCCAGAGGAAATCCCAGTCCCCATCCATCCTTTGTCCCACAAGATTCCCAGTTACTGCTTTCCCCAGAAGAAATTCCCAGTCATTGCCTTTCCAAAGGAAATTCCCAGTGTCCATTCATCCCCTGCCCCACAGATTCCCAGTCACTGCCTTCCTAGCTGAAATTCCCAGTCATTGCTTTTCCAAAGGAAATTCCCAGTCCCCATCTGTCCTCTGCCTTACATATTCCCAGTCACTGCCTTTCCAGAGGAAATTCCCAGTCCCCATCCATCCCCTGCCTCACAAGACTCCCAGTTACTGCCTTCCCAGGGGAAATTCCCAGTCACTGCTTTTCCAGAGGAAATCCCAGTCCCCATCCATCCTTTGTGCCACAAGATTCCCAGTTACTGCTTTCCCCAGAAGAAATTCCCAGTCCCTGCCTCTCCAGAGGAAATTCCCAGTGCCCAACCATCCCCTGTCCCACAGATTCCCAGTCACCGCCTTCCTAGCTGAAATTCCCAGTCATTGCTTTTCCAGAGGAAATTCCCAGTCCCCAATCCATCCTCTGCCCCACAGATTCCCAGTCACTGCCTTCCTAAAAGAAATTCCCAGTCACTGCTTTCCCAGAGGAAATTCCCAGTCCCCAATCCATCCCCTGTCCCACAGATTCCCAGTCACTGCCTTCCTAGCTGAAATTCCCAGTCATTGCTTTTCCAGAGGAAATTCCCAGTTCCCATCCATCCCCTGCCCTGCAGACACCCTGCTGACAGTCAGTACATGCTCACACACAGCTCCAAACACTCTCAAAACCACCCAAAATAAGCAGAATTATCCTCAAGGGACTTCAAAAATTTACTCTGATGCAGCTCATCGACAACATCAAAACCACTGCAAAACTGAGGAACACCAAGATTCCAACCCTCATTTTCCAGCCCAGGTGGGATTCTGTGCCTTTGTCACAGAGCAACCCCGTGTTAAATCTGAGTTTTATTCTCACCCTTCTCTCTTTGGGGATTTTTCCCTCTGCTTCCAGCTTGGCCCGTGCCTGCCTCCTCTTCAGGATGCGGTGGTACTGCTTGGCATTGACGTACAGGGGCTCCTCTTCCAGCATCTCTGCTCCAGGCAAGGGGATCCTCTGGATGGCTGGGACTGAGCCAGCTCCAGGCACCATCTGTACACACAGGGGGGTTTAGTGCTTGCAGCTCAGCACAAACTGAACACAAAAATGGCATTAAAAAGCCCAATATTGAAATAGAAAGTGGGCGTTGCTCGGGTAATGCAGCTGCTTAAATGAAAAGGAGCAACGAAGCTGTTCTCAAACAGTCTAAAACCAATCTAAAAACCTCTGCAAAAGCAATCTAAACCTCTGCAAAATCAATCTAAACCTCTGCAAAACCAATCTAAACCAACAATTCCTCCTCAGTCCTGCTGGGTTTTCCTGATAAAGTGTGGTGCTGTTCCCAGGGGTCCCAGGTGAGGGAAGAGATGAGGATCTGACTCCATGCTTTAGAAGGTTGATTTATTATTTTATGATATATATTGTATTCAAGCTATACTAAAAGAATAAAAGAAAGGATTTAATCAGAAGGCTTGAAAGGAATGAATGATAATAAAATCTTGTGACTGACCAGAGACTCCGAGCCAGCTGGGCTGTGATTGGCCATTAATTAGAAACAACCACATGAGATTAATCAAAGATGGACCTGTTGCATTCCACAGCAGCAGATAACCATTGGTTACATTTTGTTTCTGAGGCCTCTCAGCTTCTCAGGAGAAAAAAAATCCTAGCAAAAGGATTTTTCATAAAATATGTCTGTGACAATAAAGGGAACATTTCAATACAATTCCTTGTGCTGCTGCTTCTTGGACAATTAAACAAATAGGACATGGTTGGTGCTTCCTTTTCTTTTGGGTTATTTTTTATTTCAATTATTTCATTTCAGAGCATCACTGCAGAGCTGCTGACATCTAGTGGGGACCAGCAACATTCAAGAGGCTCACACTACAAAGGAACAGGAATTGCCAGGAAAAACCTCTATAAATGATGGAAACAAATCCTAGGGGATCCTCAAGAAAATCAGAAGTGAATAAATATAAACCTTTGCTCATCAGCTCACAGCTCAGTTTGGATTTCAGTTTCTACTGTGGGAGAAAGTCCAGAGCAAAGATCACAGCAGGATCCAGGCCTTTGAAGCTGAAAATTTCATTTGTTTAATGGAACTTACAGAGAGGAGTGACCATGGTATCTCAGTCTCAGACAAGAGGTTATCAGAGAACCAGGGAATCACAGGATGCTTTGGGCTGGAAGGGACCTTCAGGGACACCTCCCACCATCCCAGGGGCTCCAGGCAGGGATGGAGCAGCCACAGCTCCTCTGGGCTCCCTGTGCCAGAGCCTCCCCACACTCCAGGGAGAAATTCCTCCCCAATATCCCACCCAAGCCATTCCCACTATCCCATCCCTACCCTTGTGAAAATCCTGCTAGATTTGAGTAGAAAACACCTCAAAGCTCAGCCTCCAGAGGCAGCAGTGGGCATTTCACACCTACCATGACCATTCCCCCTGAATTGACCACGTTCCCAGCCACTGGCAGTGTCACTGTCACCGTCCCCTGGCCACTGCTGGTGGTGTTGGTGTTGGCTCCTGTTTGGACAATCTGGGCTCCAGCCAGGCTGGCTGCAGGAATGGTGATCATGCCTGTAACAGGGACTGTAACTTTAAGGAAGTAGAACACAAAAGGAAAGGAAAAAAAAAGAAAAAGAAAAAGAAAAAACAAGACAAAAAAAAAAAATAAAAACCAAAAGAGAGAGAGAGAGAGAGAAAGAAAAAAAGAAACAGAAACACGCACACAAAAAGAAGGGAACAGCATTAGTCCCACTTCTGTGTTTTACCCATTCATCCTTCCAAAACATGCAGAGAGTCAGGAAAGTGCTACAGTGAGGGGTTAAATTCCATCAGAATTCCTGGTTTTTGCATTTGTAACCTCACTGTGAGTAACCATGTACTCCTGAGGTGGAAAAGCAAAATTCAGGGGTTTTATTCCACCAGGCCTTGCCAGAGACAAGGAGATTTTCTGTTTCTGGGGAAAGAACCCTGGAGTGAATTCCTGCAGAGCACACAAACACCTCAATAAATCAAAAGCCCCTCCAAGAGGTGCCCTGGCTCCTCCCAGCCCTCCTACCTTGCTGCAGGATGGTTCCATCAGCATTCACAGGCTGGTACACGATGGTCTGGCCCTCAGCAGCCTGGGCAACCTGCTGGCCTTGCACTGCAATCTGCTGCTGGGTCTGAACAAAACAAAGAGCACAAAAACGTCACAAATTGCCTCTTTTTCACAGTATTTACAATACCTGAATGAACACATGGTGCTTGAGGTGTTCCAGGTGTCTCTTTCTGCTGCCTCATTAGCAGCAGTAAGAAATAGGCTGGAGCACAGGGCAAATACCTGGAGATCAAACACCTGAAGCACATGTAGGATGCATTTTCCAACAGTTCAATAATAATGAAAAAAGCCCAAATTCTAAGTTTCCTGTCTCACTATGAAGATGTGAAAGGAAGAACTGTTCTGCTCCAAAATTTAATTTTTGGCCCCTAACCAAAAGCATCAGCAGAAACCCCAGGTGTTGTGGACTACTGCACACAATGGCCCAAGTATGGAATTAGCAATGCTTCATGTTTTCAAAATTCAACAAAGAGACAAAAACAACCACGAACCAATAAAATACAGAAACACGATGGAGAAAAACATGCAATCTGATTTTTCTGCCCCAGAGTCATGTATGAAACACTACAAAAACATGACACTTATTTCTCAAGTTCTCCTCAATATTAATAATTCCTTTTTTTAATTTTTTTTTTAATTTTTTTTTTTTTTACTTAACCACATCTTAAAAAGTTTCTCTTCCTGTTCCTCTGCAGAAAAGCCTTTCATGCTGGTGCAGTTACCTGTGTCTGGCCAGCAGTAACTGCAGTCTGGGGCTGCTGTATAATGATCTGCTGGGTCTGGCCCTGCTGCCCCTGTACCTGCACAGCCTGCCCACCTTGAATCTGAATCTGACCTGGCTGGACCAACTGAATCTGTGGAAGAAAGAGTCAGAAAGGAACATTAACTATGCCTCTGATTTCTCCCTCCTCAGCCTCAGCATGACCAAGTCATCTCTGAGGGTGATTTAGTGTTGCACAGAAAAAGGAAGCAAGGGAGTCTTCTCTTTTTCCAGAATGAGGAGTTTGGATGGATTGCTCCCTGTGACACAGCCACACAGGGCAGAGGGAGCTGGGTCACCGTGCTCCAGCAGCTCTGCACTGCTTGCACAATAAATCACTCAGGAGAAATCAATTATTCACATCCACTGGCAACAAACAGGCAGGTGGAAGAGGAGGACTGAGGGTTTAAGACATCTGGGGGGTGTTAATTATCCAGCACTCAGAAGTGTTTCTGGGATTTATAAAGTTGTCCTCAGCTTTGCAGAGTCTTTCCACCACTGTGGAACATTCTCAGATTAAAAAAAAAGAAGAGCTGGAATATGGTTTGAAGTTTGTATTTAAAAACATAGTTATGGATTTTCCTCCACCAACCAGACTGAGAAGAACCTCATACAAATTACAGTGGTTTACAACAAAGGAAATGTTAAATAAACCTCTAAAAACATCAAGACATCATTTGCCTTCCTGGACTGTGCTGGGTTCCTAAATCCCATCCTAAATCATCAGGACACTTCCATTATGCCATGGTTACAGTTCTTCCCTTTGCTTTTCAGCAACACTTCAGCCACCTCCTTCAATTTAACAACTGTCTTTTAAACAAGTAATTACTTCCAAAAAAATCCATTTTCTGTACCTCCTTCACTACTGCCTCCTGTGCACCAGGGATGTTTAAATCCCCCTTCAGCCATCACACATTAGAGGGGCTCAAGCACAAATTACTCACAAGAAGCTTTCTTAAATAATTTTTTTTTTTTAAAAATCCTCTTTCTGAGCCATAAATTGAACAGGCACCAGATCCCCAACTAGATTGCAAGGGCCAGATAAAATATCCCAAGAGATAAAAATCCTGCTCTGTGGGAAGGTATCCCACATGCCAGGTACCCCTATTCCCATAGGAAGGTGTCCCTACCTCTGCCAGGAAGGTGCAACTGGATGAGCTTTAAGGTCTCATCCAACCCAAATCATTCAATAAAAAGCCCCAAACCAAGCCAGCTGTGTTTTAGCACTAAAATCTTTGCACATAAACCCTAAAAACTGAGCTCATAAAGGACTTCCACTCATTCCTAATTGTGCCAGAGCTACCAAGCACCACCTCAGCCTGCTTTTGCTCAACAAACAAAAATCCTGCTCTGTGGGAAGGTACCCACAGGACAGGTACCCCTATCACAGGTATCCCACAGGACAGGTACCCCTATCACAGGTATCCCACAGGACAGGTACCCCTATCACAGGTACCCCTATCACAGGTATCCTACATGACAGGTACCCCTATCACAGGTATCCCCCAGGACAGGTACCCCTATCACAGGTACCCCTATTCCCATAGGAAGGTGTCCCTGCCTATGCCAGGAAGGTGCAACTGGATGAGTTTTAAGGTCTCATCCAACCCCAAATCATTCCATGATGAAAAACCCCATAGGAAGTTTTTCAGGTAGGATAGTTTTTCATAGGAAGTTTTTCAGATAGGAAGGTGTCCCTGCCTATGCCAGGAAGGTGCAACTGGATGAGCTTTAAGGTCTCATCCAACCCAAATCATTCCATGATGAAAAACCCCATAGGAAGGTGTCCCTGCCTATGCCAGGAAGGTGCAACTGGATGAGTTTTAAGGCCTCATCCAACCCCAATCATTCCATGATGAAAAACCCCATAGGAAGGTGTCCCTGCCTATGCCAGGAAGGTGCAACTGGATGAGCTTTAAGGCCTCATCCAACCCCAATCCTTCCACAATGAAAAACCCCAAACCAACCCAGCTGTGTTTTAGCACTAAAATCTTTGCACCAGGCCATACAAAAACCAGTTCATAAAGGACTTTCACTCATTGCCACTGTGCCAGAGCCCCCCAGCAGCAGCAGCAGCTCAGGCTGGTTTTGGGGTGCTGTGTGGCAGTGGCAGTGCCCCAGAGCCGTGCAGTGCCCCCAGGGTGTCTCACCTGCTGCAGCCCCTGTGTGCCAGACACGGGCACCTGCATGATGGTCTGGCCCTGGCCCCCAGGCACGGCCTGCACCATGATGGGCTGGCCCGTGGAGGTGATGAGCTGCCCCCCGCTCACCTGCACCATCAGAGGCTGCCCCTGCACCTGCAACAACAAAATAACAATGAAAACCCCACCAGAACAGCCCCAGAGCCCACCCCTGCCCAGCCTGTATGTGGGGAACGGGCACTGAGCTGCTTCAAACCAGCTCTGGCTTCCAGGGATTTAGTGAGTTATCTGCTCCTCTTGCAGTCTAGTTGTTATAAAGCATGAAAATCATATTTTTTCAGCCACAAGGACTACCTTCATGCACAGCCCAAGAGCAAAGTGGGATAAAAAACTTCATTATTCACCTTGCAATTACTGATTTTTAGTTTTGGTTCCTATTGAGATTTTTTAGATTTTTTAGTTGAGGTTCCTAGTGAGAGAACTCTGTTCTGAGGTGCCTTCAGCTCTCTTCAATTTTATGCCTACAACATTCCCATTTCCAAACTGACATGGATGGAGCATGGGATGTGCTGGAGGAGAAACTCTCCATGGTTATGGAGGGAAACTGTAACTGGAGCAACACAAAATGGAGTTGAGGGAGGAAAAGTCAAAGTGGATGAGCAGCAGCCACTTCTGGGCCCAAAAAAGATTTAGATTGGATAGATAATATAAATATAAATAATAAATAATAAATATATATAAATATATAAATATATAAATATATAAATATATAAATATATAAATATATAAATATATAAATATAAAGTGTGAGGGTGGGCAGGCCCTGGCACAGGCTGCTCAGAGCAGCTGTGGCTGCCCCTGGATCCCTGGAGGTGTCCAAGGAGAGGCTGGACAGGGCTTGGAGCACACTGGGATAGGGGAAGGTGTTGGGGTGGGATCTGGGTGAGCTTTAAGGTCCCTTCCCACCCAGACCAGTCTGGGATTCTGAGGTAACTTTGGCCTGAGAATCTCTGGGCTCTTGGACCTGGTATCTCTCTGGTCACTGGGAAAAAGGCCCAAGAAAACAAGGGGAAAACCTCTCTGTTTGAACCCCCTCACCCTGCCATGCCCCCAAATTGCCCAAACACATATTGAAAAACACTCTACCTCCACAGCCTAAATACAAAATCAGTCTGATGAACTCAGGGGATCACAAAATCTGATTTGTTCAGGAACAAGAACATCACAATGTGGTAAAGCCACCGAGTTCCTGGGTTTCACATCCCAGAGGGTGAGGAGCCAAATCCTGCCCTGGGAATTGGAGTTTGCAGGTCCCCACTCTGTCCCTCAGCCTGTCCATGTCCCATCCAAAGCCCTCAGCCCCTGGGCTGGGTCACACAGGGAGGAGGAGCATGCTCAGGTCAGCACAGAGAAGCACAGGCAGCAGCACAATATCCAAGAAGCAGAAAGGAAAACAAGAGACATTCCAGGCTTTTTGTTAATGAATCACAGCAAGGCAAACTAGGAAAATTAAAAAAAAAAAAAAGGTGGGAAGGACATAACAACAACCAGAGGTCCCAGTGAACCCAGCAATCCAAGTGAGGCAGCATCTGAGAGTTGAACTCTGAACATAAAAAATGCTGTGTTAATTCTGCAGCTGGCAGGGCCATCCCAGCCCCTTGGAACCACCCTGCTCTGAAGAATTACAAACCAAACAAAAGCAGAATCCTGAGTGCACAACTGCCACAGCTGCCCAGGCTCTGTCAACTGCTCTACAAAGGGCTCCTGGAAAGGCTGGGTGAGTTAAGGAGGCTGCAAGACAGGAAACACTTCACCCTGAGACCAAGCTCTTTCCAGACTGGGCTGTGTTTGCTGTTTGGATCCACGTGGTGGCCCCTGGGTTTCCCTGTGCTGTTCACAGGTAAATAAGAAATTGGATCTCTCAGTGCCACAGAGGCCAATGCTGTCCCCAGGTGCCCTTTCAGCCCCAGCTGAGAAGGTTCCACTGTCCAAGCTCAGGCTCTGGCCCCACCTCTGTGTGTGCCTCATGCAGTGAAGGCAGAGCCCTCCTCAGGGAAGAGCTCAGAACCCTCATTCCCTTGAAATTACAGGAAATCTTTGGGCTTTATCCCAACTGCTCCTTCCTCATTTTGCTGCTCATAACTTGAAAAATCTCCCTGAACTTTATTCCCTCCCAGAATCCCTGCCATGCACCAACGGGAACAGCTCCAATGCAAACCCCAGAGGCAGCACCCAAGCAGAAATTCCTGCTCCACATCCCCCTGCTCCTCCTGGACACCCTGGGAAAAACACAGCATTAGATATGTGCTGCTGGGGAGGGTCATGCAGTGCTCAGAAACACAATCAGAGAGGTCACCACTACCTGGAGGGTCTGGACTTGCTGGCCTGAGGCCGATGCCACCTGGGCCTCAGTCTGCAGCTGGACAGCTGTGACACCTCCCTGCTGCTGGGAACAGGAACAGGGAGAGCTTGAAACATGGAAATGCACAACACACTGCTGGCACAGGGGGTGGGGATCACACACTCTGCTCCAGGAACACGAGGAATGGGAATTTCAGCAAAACTAAGGATGGAGTTCCCTGGAACTGCACTGCCAGGGTTCCATATTCCCACTCACAGGGAACAGGACAGGTGATTTTGCAGGATTTCAAGCTCAGTTTCAGGGTTTTAGTTTTAAAATTTCAGACTTCAATATTCCAACTCACAGGGAACAGGACAGGTGATTTTGCAGGATTTCAAGCTCAGTTTCAGGGTTTTAATTTTGAACTTTCAGGCTTCAATATTCCAACTCACAGGAATAGGTAATTTTGGGCAGGTAATTTTTGAGGATTTCAAGCTCAGTTTTAGTTTTAAAGTTTCAGGCTTCAATATTCCAACTCACAGGAATACGTGATTTTGAGCAGGTAATTTTGCAGGATTTCAAGCTCAGTTTCAGGCTTCAATATTCTAACTCACAGGAATAGCTAATTTTGGGCAGGTGATTTTGCAGATTTCAAGCTCAGTTTCAGGGTTTTAATTTTGAACTTTCAGGCTTCAATATTCCAACTCACAGGAATAGGTAATTTTGGGCAGGTGATTTTGCAGGATTTCAAGCTCAGTTTCAGGGTTTTAATTTTGAACTTTCAGGCTTCAATATTCCAACTCACAGGAATAGGTAATTTTGGGCAGGTGATTTTGCAGGATTTCAAGCTCAGTTTCAGTTTTAAAGTTTCAGGCTTCAGTATTCCATCTCACAGGAATAGTTAATTTTGGGCAGGTAATTTTGCAGGATTTCAAGCTCAGTTTCAGGCTTCAATATTCTAACTCACAGGAATAGGTAATTTTGGGCAGGTGATTTTGCAGGATTTCAAGCTCAGTTTCAGGGTTTTAGTTTTAAAGTTTCAGGCTTCAATATTCCAACTCACAGGAATAGGTAATTTTGCAGGATTTCAAGCTCAGTTTCAGGGTTTTAGTTTTGAACTTTCAGGCTTCAATATTCCAACTCACAGGGAACAGGATGGGTCATTTTGCAGGATTTCAAGCTCAGTTTCAGGGTTTTAGTTTTGAAGTTTTAGGCTTCAATATTCCAACACACAGGAATAGTTAATTTTGGGCAGGTAATTTTGCAGGATTTCAAGCTCAGTTTCAGGCTTCAAAATTCCAACTCACAGGAATAGCTAATTTTGGGCAGGTGATTTTGCAGAATTTCAAGCTCAGTTTCAGGGTTTTAGTTTTGAACTTTCAGGCTTCAATATTCCAACTCACAGGGAACAGGATGGGTCATTTGGCAGGATTTCAAGCTCAGTTTCAGGGTTTCAGTCTGCTCACCGCCCAGGTTTTGGCACAGTGAAGGGTTGCAGATTTTGGGCACACTGGTTTATCCCAACCAAACCCTTCCTGCAGCAGTCTGAGCTCATCTCTGCCACCCCTGTGTTGGTGTGTGCCCACCAGTGACCCTGAGGGACAGTCTGGAGAGGCTGCAGGAGCAGTCACAGCTCAATCCTTTTCTATCTTTAGCCTCTTTGCTAAGAGTCCCAAAATACTCCCAGTAACTGTGTTAAGCATGGGGAGATGAAGGACAGCTCCCTCCCAAGTGCTGCAACAGCCTGGTGAAACAACTCATTTTAGCAAAATGTTTCACATCAGACACAGGCTTGAAGAAGTTGTACTGAAAATGAAAGCCAAGAGTTGATTTTATCTCCTTTTCACCTGGAAAATGTCAATAAGCCAACTACATCTTTGGTTATCTGCTGCAAACAGGTATTTCAGATAATCCTTAATATAAAATGTTTTCATCTCAAGTGCAATTTTTGTTCTGGCTGGAAAAAATCAACTCCAGCTAAACCCAGTGGAAGGGTTTGGTCCCTGCTGAGGCCAAAGCAAAGCAGCTCTCCCTGAAAACATCATCCAGAGGCTCAGCCCTTTGCATGGCAAAGCACCAAACCTCCTCAAACTACAGCAGAAGATGCAGCAAAAATTCAGCAGCAGCTGGAAACACATCCCACATCTGGATATGGAAAGCTGAGCAGCCAAAATCAGTAAGGCCTCTAAACTCAGCCCTGGTGTTTTGCACACTGAAACATGAATTTCGTTGTGGGATGGATGAGTTCATCCAAAGCTCCTTGGTTGGTTGAATTCCTGGTCTGTCTGGGTTTTTTTGCTCCATGTGTTATTCTGAAACAAAGAATCTCTACAAATGTTCATTTGGTAAAGCTGGAGGAAACCTCTGTGGGCTTGAACAAAATCTATTTCAACTTTGGGGGAATTTTTCTTGTGGACAACAGATTGTTTCTGTTAATATTCTGTTTCCTCCATTTTCAGAGATGTTTCACTATATTTTTATATTTTACTTTCCCCTTGTCACTACCATTTTGCAAACTTCCTGCTACACTGAAATTTGGTAACATGTACACCTGCATTTTCATTTTAATTTTATAGAAATGTTTGTAGTTATATAAAAATTTATAAATTTTATTTAATTTAAAAGATATAGTAAGTGCATTCTAAAAACCACATTTACTCTGACTTCCAGGCAGGTGCCATCAGAGCCCAGGTGACAGAAGTCAGGTGAACAGGAACCCAGGAGAATCAGGATTGTGCTACTGAAACCAAGCTTTTTCCAAACTGGGATGTGTTTGCTGTTTGGCTCCTGTGCTGTTCACAGGTAAATAAGAAATTGGATCTCTCAGTGCCACAGAGGCCAATGTTGTCCTCAGGTGCCCTTTCAGTCCCAGCTGAGAAGGTTCCACTGTCCAAGCTCAGGCTCTGGCACCACCTCTCCTCAGGGAGGAGCTCAGAACCCTCATTTCCTTGGATTTACAGGAAATCTTTGGGGTTTATCCCAACTGTTCCCTCTGAGGGGTGCAAAGGGCTCCCCCATTCCCCATTCCATACCTGCTGCTGGATCTGCCCTGCCTGCACCACGATCTGCTCCGTGGAGCTGCTGCTGTTGGCTGTGTACTGCTCCATGGTGCCTCAGCCCTGCAAGAACAACAAAAATCAGGTGATCTGCTGTCCCCAGGCCTGGCAATGCCACTGTCCCCAGGCCTGGCAATGCCCACTGTCCCCAGGCCTGGCAATGCCATCCCCACTGTCCCCAGGCCTGGCAATGCCCACTGTCCCCAGGCCTGGCAATCCAATGCCCACTGTCCCCAGGCCTGGCAATCCAATCCCTGCTGTCCCCAGGCCTGGCAATGCCCACTGTCCCCAGGCCTGGCAATGCCCACTGTCCCCAGGCCTGGCAATCCAATCCCCACTGTCCCCAGGCCTGGCAATGCCCACTGTCCCCAGGCCTGGCAATGCCCACTGTCCCCAGGCCTGGCAATCCAATCCCCACTGTCCCCAGGCCTGGCAATGCCCACTGTCCCCAGGCCTGGCAATCCAATGCCCACTGTCCCCAGGCCTGGCAATCCAATCCCTGCTGTCCCCAGGCCTGGCAATGCCCACTGTCCCCAGGCCTGGCAATGCCCACTGTCCCCAGGCCTGGCAATCCAATCCCCACTGTCCCCAGGCCTGGCCATGCCACTGTCCCCAGGCCTGGCAATCCAATCCCCACTGTCCCCCAGCAGCTGCCAAGCCAAGCAAACCAGGAGCTGCCCCAGGGATTTTTTGCTGCTCCATCTCAGCAATAAACAGAGGAAACACTTCAGGCCCATCCAAGCTGAGTGAGCAGCAAAACCACCTCAGTTCTGGCCCAAATTTCATGGATTTCGCCAGTTCTGTGAGTCTGTGGTACCCACACAAGGGAGTGGCACTGCTGGGAAAGCTCAGGAAATGCAAAACCTTCAGGTGTGAAATTGAACCTTAAGGTGTGAAGGTTTCTCTCCTCGTTTTTCTTCCCTCTCCTCCTACTCTCATGCAATGGTTTGGCTGAGAAGGGACATTGAGGACCATCCAGTGCCACCCCCTGATGTGGGCAGGGACACCTTGCACCATCCCAACCTGGCCTTGGACACTTCCAGGGATCCAGGGGCAGCCTCAGCTCCTAACTCCTCACCCTCACAGGGAAGAATTTCTTCCCTAAACAAGTATTTCTATATTCAAATACAGCCCTCGTGGATTTTGGGAAGCAGATTTCCCAGCATCTCCATCCTCTCGCTGCCCTTCATTCCTTGGCCCTTTCCCTGCACACATCACCACCACTGTGCTGAAATGAAAACATCTTTTCCCTGCCACTGCTTCTCTCCTCACTGGCCCAACAGCAGCAGAATTCCTGCTTTAGTGAGGTGTTTGATTTATGTCACGACTGAACAAGTTCCTGCTACACCGCTGAACGAAACCACAGCCTGGAACTTTTAATTTTCCAAGTCTAAAGCAACAAAACCTCTGGCTCCCTCCATTTTTCAAGGAATGCTGACAGGATTAAGTCACAGACTCTCTGTACCCGTTGCTGTGGTTACTGCTGCTGTTTGAGTCCCATCCTTTGCCCACTTCCTGAGACTTTCACAGCCAGAATAAAAGAAGATAAATATTCTTTCTGAAAATGCTGCTGTCAGGTTCCCATTTCAATTTCAGGTTCCCATTTCAATTTCACACTAGATACTTCATTTCTGCCTTAAACTTTTTAAATTAAAACATTAACAGCTCTGTAATTCCAACACTCTGCAGCAGCTGCCTGAAGTTCTGAACGAGGTTTTGGATCCTCACCATTCAAGGGATTATCTCATCCCCTTGGTTAAACACAGAGTAGCCAAGTTAAATATTAATGATCAGGGATCAATCAATGGCAGAGGATGGCAGCTCCTCCCCCAGTGAGCTCATGGGCAGCTCCTCCTCACCGGGAATGCTCTGGGAACCAGGGAGTGCTCCAGTCCTAGCAGCAGATATTTATATAGGCACCACATATATATATATATACACAAATATATATAAATAATTACATTTAAAAATAGATAAAATATATTATATACAAATGTGCATTTATGTACACAATATATATAAATATATGTTTTATATATGTAATATATAAATATGTATATATTTTATAGTATATATATATATATATATATATGTACTGAGTTGTATGGGACTCATTAGGATCATTAAACTCCTGCTCCTGCACAGGATAGCTCCAAAAATACATACAAATATTTATACATATACATATAAAACACACATCATTTATATTTATACAAATACAGCTCCACCAGGAGCAGTTTCCTCAACAACCAACCCACACCAAGAGCAAACCAGTGCCACGAACAGCCCGAGAGCTCCGGAGCATCGCTCGGACCGTGTCCACGAGCTCCGTTCCGCGGGATCCACCGCTCCCGGGACACCGCACGCCCACACCGGAGCGGGATTTCGGATTTAACACGGGGGCGGACCGAGCACGACATGTGGAGCCGGGGCTGTTGTGGCACTGCGGGAAGCCCCGGCCCGGGGGTCTCCCGGTGGGCTCGAGCCCCCGGCTGCCCCGAACACCGGCCCAGCCGCCGGACACATCAGGGCAGCAGCACCGCGCACACCGGCACCGGACGGGGGAGGCTCCCGGGGCGGAGCGCGCCGGGGGAACAGGCCGGGCCCCGCTGCCTCGCTGGGCCCCGCGCCCCCCGCCCGGCCGCGGTGTACCCGACCCCGCTGCTCGCGGCCCCGCTCGCCCCGCGGCCCCGGCGCGGCCGAACCGAGCCCGGCCCCGGTTCCCCCCTCAGCCCCTGAGTGGCCGCGGCCCCGCCAATCCCGGCGCGCGGGGGCTCCATATTGGCCGCTCGCGCTCACCGTGCCGCGCTGCCCGGTCCGCGCCCCGCGCTGATTGGCTCCGCCGCGGGGCCCCGAAGCCCAATCAGCGCCCGCACTCGCCCGCCGCGCAAAATGGCGCCCAACCGCGGACAAAGGGGGCGAGGGGCGGGGCCCCGCCCGGCCGCGGCCGCCCAACCGCGCGCCTCGCCCTGCCCGGCGCAGCTGCGCCTGCGCGGGGGCCGCGGCGCGCGCGCGCGGGGCGGGCCCCGCCCGGCTCTAAGCTCCGCCCCCTGCCCGGAATGTTCTGGGCCGGGACCGTGGAGAGGGTCCGCCCGCGCGCGCCGCCGCCATGTTGTGTGCGGCAATACCCCCATGCTGTGTGAGCCGATACCGCCGTGTTGTGTGCGGCAATACCCCCATGCTGTGTGAGGCGATACCGCCGTGTTGTCTGCGGCAATACCCCCATGCTGTGTGAGGCGATATCGCCGTGTTGTGTGCGGCAATACCCCCATGCTGTGTGAGGCGATACCGCCGTGTTGTCTGCGGCAATACCCCCATGCTGTGTGAGGCGATACCGCCGTGTTGTGTGCGGCAATACCCCCATGCTGTGTGAGGCGATATCGCCGTGTTGTGTGCGGCCGTACCCCCGTGTTGTGTGCGGCCGTACCGCCGTGTGGGCTGAGGACGATCCGCCAACTCCCCTGTGAGGCGGATCCGCCATTCCGCCGCGAGGCGGAGCCGCTGAGGCTGAGGCGGTACCGCCAATGTCCCCCTGAGGCGGAGCCGCCGTGCCGGCTGAGGCGGTGCGCTGTGGCCGTGAGGCGGGGCCGCCCTTGCGGCTCGGCCGGAGCGATGTGGGCGGTGCTGGGCAGGCTCGGCGTGGCGCAGGCCGTGGGCCCGGCCCGGTTGATCGCTGTGCGCCCCGCGGGTGCGGCGGCCGAGTGGCGCTCAGGGGTGGGAGGGGAAGGAGGAGGAGGAGGAGGGTGATGATGGTGATGAGGAGGAGGGAGGCAGCCTGGGGGTGCTCCTTGTGCGGTGACCCAGGGCTGGGGCCTCCTCCCGGGCCGGAGCTGTAGGCGCAGCGGGACCGGGTCAGGGGCACCGGCATCTGTCATAGCTGTCCCGCTGTCACAGATAAAATTAGGTTCAGCCTCGTCCCCTCTAACACACTCTTACTGCCTCTCTTGAGGTTCCTAATAATTGTTTTTCTCTCATCTTTCCAGCCGCAGGAGCCTTCTCCATACCCCACGTTACCATGGCCACCCACTTCTCCAAGGATCAGGAGAGAGTGCGTAGGGAATGGGTTACATGGGATATTATTGTCTGTGCAAAGAGGCTTTCCTCTCATTACAGCCCTGACAGCGCGGCACTGGCTGCATCCTGCAGCTTTTGAGAGTAAAGTGCTGAAATCCTGTGCTTTTTGTGTGTAATATCAGTGGGGCAGGTGCTGTGCAGCAGCACAGAGCTCACCTGCCTGCCTGAGCACCTCGAGCCTGGTGCTGCTGGAGGGGTTTCACTAATCCAGCTGTGCTCCCTGTCACATAATTACCCTTTTAAGCTTTGATTTTGTAAAATTACCTGCTGAGCTGGCACATGATGCTCATAAATGATCTTGTTGAGGAGGTGTAGTGGGTTTGTAAATCTGTGTACAGGGTGTGCACTTCTCTGTAGTGGCTTTGTAATTCTCTGTAGTGGGTTTGCAGTTCTCTATATTGGGTTTGTTATTCTCTGAATTGAGGTTGTAATGCTGTGAGTTTGGTTTGTAGTTCTGTCTATGGAGTTTGTAATTCCACACGTGGGGTTTTTCATTCCCTCCCTTGGGTTTGTAGCCTGCGCCAGCCCAAACCCTTAACGCCCTGCACAGCAAACTCAAACCCTGGTCACCATTCCCTGGTCACCAGAGCCCTGTGTGCTCTCTGAGGAGGTGTTGTTGCCCTGCCCTGCAGATCAGGTGTGTCAAGGGGGACCTGTTCTCGTGCCCGGGCACGGACGCCCTGGCGCACTGCATCAGCGAGGATTGCCGCATGGGCGCCGGCATCGCCGTGCTCTTCAAGAAGAAGTTTGGAGGCGTCCAGGAGCTCCTGGATCAAAGTGAGTGGTGCCTGAAGGAGCTCCTGATTTCCAGCAGGGAGGGTGTTGGAGCTCTTTGGGGTTATGGAGTGTGGCTGTTCTGAAAACACCTTGGTTTTTGTGCTTTAGAGAAGAAGACGGGGGAGGTGGCGGTTCTGCAGAGGGATGACCGCTACATTTACTACCTGGTAAGGGCTGGGGTGGCACTGGGCCACCTCCCTGGAGCTAAACTGTCACATTAATAGCTGGGGGGGGGTTTGGTAGTGTTCATGGAATCAGGGAATCACAGAATGGTGGGGTGGGAAGGGACCTTAAATCTCATCCTGAGCAGGGACACCTTCCCCTATCCCACCTTCCCCTACCCCACCTTCCCCTATCCCCTCCAGCCTGGCCTTGGACACCTCCAGGGATGAGACAGCCACAGCTGCTCTGGGCAGCCTGTGCCAGGGCTTCACCACCCTCACAGGGAACAATTCCTTCCCAATATCCCATCTAACCCAGCCCTCTGGCAATGTGAAGCCATCCCTGTTGTCCTGTCACTCCAGGCCCTCGTAAATAAATAGTCTCTGTCTTGTTGGCTCCCTTTGGGCACTGGAAGGGAGTTTCTGGAATGTTCCTCTCAATAAGAGATGTGTCCTCAAGCACTGCCTGTGAGGAACAGCCAAGCTGTTGTGTGCATCTGCATTTCACCTTTACATGGACACAAGTGGCTGCTAAATCAGAGTGTTTTAAGCTGTGAAATGTTCTTTGCTCAGTTCTTTCCACAGAGGCAAGTCTGGGTGTGGACTTTTGGGATATCAGGGAATGTGTATTTTGTATTTATAACAGACAGAAGTTTGCAGGGGTGATGCCCAAGGCACAGCTGAGCTTTTCTGTTTTTCTGTAGATTACAAAGCAGAAGGTTTCTCACAAGCCCACGTATGAGAGCATGCAGAAGAGTTTGGAAGCCATGAAAGCTCACTGCCTGAACAATGGAGTCACTGACATCTCCATGCCCAGGTGAGGGGCTCAGCACCTGGATGCCAATGTTGGGTGTTTAATTTCTAGAAGGATGTCTGAGGGATGATCCCCTGCTGTGAAATAAGAATTCAAGCATCCACCTCAATCCAACTCCTCTGTTCAACTGACAAATCTAATTTGCATTTCCCTGTGCATTTGTTTCCTTGTTCCCCCCACGTTCTGTGGGTTCATGAGGAGCTGTGGCAGGGCCACCTCAAACTGCAGCTGCTCCAGGGCTGGTTGGGCACAGCACAAGGCCCCACAGCTCTTTTGGTGCTTTATCTTCCAGGATTGGATGTGGACTCGACGGCCTGCAGTGGGAAAAGGTGTCAGCCATCCTTGAGGAAGTGTTTGAGAACACTGACATCAAGATCACAGTGTACAGCCTGTGAGCAGAGCAGTCCAGGATCCCCATTTCCCCCAGTTTTGGGAGCAGAACCTCTGAACTGACAAAGGGGGGGGCCTGTGTGTGGAGCACGTTCTGCATCCGGGTGTCACTGACTCGTGTGACAGTCACAGGGGCTTCCAGCAGCAGCAGCAGCAGGCTCCTGAGCAGTTCATTTGGGCTGTGAATTAGCGGGAGGCAGCGGCGCTGTGCAAGCCCTGGGGGAGCTCCCAGTGTGTCCCTGCAGCCACCAGGTGTCACTGGGGCTCCACGCAGGGAAACGGAGCCGCTGCCGCTGGGGACTCGGGGTTTCTGTTGGGGTTGGTGCTGCCCCAGGCAGCGCTGGCACCTCTGCTTTGTTCTGTTTGCCATGCCCTGCCTGGCACTGCCGTCACTCACCTCTTCTCACACGTGGAACGGTTTCATTTCTCCCTTCCTGCCACAAGTTGGGTTTGCTGAGGTTGTGCTTACTCAGGATCATGGTGTGATGTGAAATAAACACTGCCCTGCTGTTGGATTGCTACCTGTGGCTCTTGTGGGGACAGGCTGGGACTGCAGGGAATGCTGGAGGGGGGTAAATACACCTGGTGGGTGTGTTTTATACAGCACCTCTATCATTTATAGTCTGCAGAGCTCTGTTTGGTGAGGATCCAAACAGGCTGATGTGCTCTAAAAACTCACAGCATGGGGTTTAAGGTGAGGTTTTCACATTTCTTTCTTTGTTGCATTTGTAGTCCAGGTGTTACACAAAGGTTGGTGTCTGTCACCCAAAACTAAAGCAAATCAGCACCACCCCTTCTTCCTGAGATCCATGGAAAACTCCTGATTTGGCAGAGTTTGTTCTAGAACTGAGCAACTGCCACACACTTTTCCTTTGTGTTTGGTTTTTAAACCCTCCCACAATAACAAATCTTCTGGACATGTGTCATTCTGCATGCCCAGAAAAGTGCCAGGTGTGTTGAAGAAATATAAAAATGGGACATAAGAGTTGGGAATTTTGTAACATGGCAGGGTTCCTGATTGGATTCCTTGGGAAGGGACTGGGTTACTCAGTTCTGTTTGTCTTTATCCTTACTCTCCTTGTTCCTTGCCCATATTTTGTAGACCTGTTGGGTGGGGAATTGCTGTAGCTGGGAAAAACAACAGAGGAATTTGGAGCAATGAGCTGATCCAGAACAGGCATGGAGGCTGCTCATGGATTCAGTCCTTCCCCTTATTTGTGTCTGGGTTTTTGTTCTGGTTCCTTACTCATGGCATCCTCATGAGCTTTGTTTTACATGGAAAATGATCCTGCTCTCCAGCAGTTGTGTGTACTCTGGAAATTTTTTTGGCATTTAGTTCTCCCTTCCCAGCTACAAAATATTCCCTGTGTGGCTGTCCTGGGATGTCCTTGAATTCAGACTTGTCAGGTTCAATTTAGGACTTCCTGCAAGTAGAGAAGAAGGAATAAACTGTTTTGGCTTTTGCAGTGGCTTCCCATTTTATTTCACTCTGCTTTTCCCAGGTTTATATCCCAAACAACATTGTTTGATGTCAAGTTCTTGGGCTCCATCATGATTTGGAAGAGAGCTGTTGGCCCTGAATTAAATCACAGCTCTGACTATTGAGGAGAACAGAGGGAGAAAACTGCTTTTTCACCTTTAAATCCCTTTCTTTTCCTCTTTCTAATGCATTTATCTAACCTTTGTTCTAAGGTCTCTTCCCATGAAATATTCCCAGAATGTGATCCCACAGCCTGCCTGTAGATCACTGCCATCCCTTTGACCACAGCATGGGTTTGGTTGGGGCAGGGAGGGGGAGGAACAAAAAACACCCAAAAAATCCCAAACACCAGAGGTCTGTGTTGTGTGTGTGTTGTGTGTGTGTTTGGAGTCCCACAGGGCCTGGTCTCCCAGAGGCTGGTTCTCCATCCTGCTGGAATCAAAGCTTTGGGAAGCAGGACTGTCCCAGGTGTCCAGGTCTGTCACATCTCTTCATGGATCCTTTCCGATCCTGGGGAGGAAAAAGAGACATCCCAGAGACTCAGAGGTGACTCTTCAGTACCCCATAGAAAGAGGAATTCTGGAAGCACTGGGATTTCCTTTATTGGTGTTTTTTAGACTTTGGGGTGTGGGTAAAATCCGTTTCAGTCTCCATCCTCTCCCTGTTGTCCTGAACATCATCCCTGTGGGGGACAGGGGGGGTGTTCTGGTGGCCCTGGAACCTTTTTGTTCTTTATTCCTGGAGGGGAAGACAGAAAAGCACTAAATCCCTTGGGAATGTGCTGTGGGGGAGCCCCTGGAAGGGCAAAGCCACTGCCTGGCATTGTTAGCAATATTCAGCTGACAATAAGATAAACTGGAACCCAAATTAAAGAGAGGAGAGTTAATGAGTGACCCCCTCACTCACCTGAGCCTCAGTGCAAGATCTCCGCCAGCTTCTCCTCGTAGTACTGAAAATTCTCCTGAATATCCTCCCAGGGCACAAAGGACTTGGCCTCCTCCCCTTCCTCCTGCTCCACAAAGTTCTTCCAGACATACTCAAAGTCTTGAGGCTTCATAATCCTCAGCTTGCAGCCGGCCTCCTTCATGCTCCTGAGGGCCGCCTGCATCTCGGGCTCCTCCCACATGAAGAGCCTGCCCACCATGATGGTGAGGCGCAGCCCCTTGTTCTTGCGCAGGGCCTCGCAGATCCTCTGGGCGCAGGTGACACAGGGGCTGGAGGACACGTACCAGGTGACATCGTGGCGGGCACCGGCCTGGCACGCGGGCAGGATGGTGTTGAAGAAAGCCATCTCGGCGTGCGCGGCCGCGTGCTCGTCCTCCAGGTACCCCCGGCTGGTCACCGGCTCCTTGCCCTGCGTCTCCACCACGTAGCACAGGAAGGTTTTGTTCCTGCCCGAGCTGTACTCCACGTTCCTGAACTGGAATTTGAAGAAGATGGCTGGGAGGCGTTCCCTGGGAGAGGGGAGAGAGCAGAGAGGAGGCTCAGAGGGAGATTTAGGTGAGGGTCACACTTTTGGGTCACCTCTACCCATGACCCAAATCCCATGAGCAAATCACTGCACCACCCCTGATTTCTGTGTTCCAAGGTTTAGGTTGGGAAATGGTCCCTGGGAGAGGGGAGAGAGCAGAGAGGAGGCTCAGAGGCAGATTTAGGTGAGGGTCACACTTTTGGGTCACCTCTACCCATGACCCAAATCACTGCATCACCCTTGATTTCTGTGTTCCAAGGTTTAGGCTGAGAGAGGAGGCTCAGAAGCAGATTTAGGTGAGGGTCACACTTTTGGGTCACTTCTACCCATGACCCAAATCCTGTGGGCAAATCACTGCACCGCCCCTGATTTCTGTGTTCCAAGGCTTAGGCTGAGAGAGGAGGCTCAGAAGCAGATTTAGGTGAGGGTCACACTTTTGGGTCACTTCTACCCATGACCCAAATCACTGCATCACCCTTGATTTCTCTGTGTTCCAAGGTTTAGGCTGAGAGAGGAGGCTCAGAGGCAGATTTAGGTGAGGGTCACACTTTTGGGTCACCTCTACCCATGAGCAAATCACTGCACTGCCCCTGATTTCTCTGTGTTCCAAGGTTTAGGTTGGGAAATGGTCCCTGGGAGAGGGGAGAGAGCAGAGAGGAGGCTCAGAGGCAGATTTAGGTAAGGGTCATACTTTTGGGTCATCTCTACCCATGACCCAAATCCCACGAGCAAATCACTGCATTGCCCCTGATTTCTCTGTGTTCCAAGGTTTAGGTTATAAAATATCCAGGATCAAATCCAACTTTGCTGTGAAAATGTGGATTTCTTGCTGGAGTTCCTGCTGATAAACTTCTTCACCTACTCTTTTAATTTATTGTCCACATTTTCCCTTCTGTGATTCCAAGATCACCTTGTGGTGGAACATCTCATGGGATGGCTCTGGAGATGGGAAGGGAAAGGGATGGAAAAGTGGGGAAAAAATCCATGTGCTTCCAAGAATAGCACATCTCCTGCTTGGTATCCTGGATAATGAGAGTTTCTTTGGCCGAGGATTCTTAGATTGATGATTTTTTGAAGGCTGGACATGAGACACCCATTCCAGAGCGATGTCTGCAACGAGTGGTTTCACAATAACATCACGTTTTTAAATACATCAGAGGCACAGGGAATTTCATCCCTGATTTAACTCCCTGACAGCAAAGGGGTCACAGCAGTGACGAGGTTGGCTGTGCCTTTTCATGGAACAGCTGAAGCAGCAGCAGCCTGCTCCAGGATGGATTGACTCAGGCTGGATTGACTGGGAGCTGCATTTAGCCAGCCCTTCCTGATGGATTTTCTTGCTTATCTCGGCGTGTGCCTGGGCTTAGCTGGGATGTTCACCTCCATTCTGCTCCCAGCACTTTGGAATCTGCGTTAGTTCAATTAATAACATTCCAAGAAGGAATAGAAACAACACTCAGAGCCCATTCCAGTGCCTGGCAACCCTTGCTGTGAAGAAATTCCCCCTGGCACAATCTGAGGCCATTTCCCCTCGTCCTGTTGTCTGGGAGAAGAGGCTGATCCCCACCTGGCTCCAGCCTCCTGGAGAGTGAAAATGTTCATGGAAATAATTTAAAAACTGTTCACAGACTCTGACTTCCCCAATATTCTCAATATAAATCCCTGCTCTGACACTAGGCTGGGGTGGCACAGCTCACCTGAGGATAGGAAAGGTCAAAATAGAAACCTCCCCTGAAAAGCATCATTAAATGACATTTTTTAGGGATTTCTAAATGCTCCAACCTAATTTATCAGTTTTCCCTGGGTAGCAAAGTGATAGATCATATTGAGACCAAAACAAAATTTGAATTTTGAGGCAGAATCTTCAGTCTGGGATTGAAGTTGCTGCAATCAGATGGGCTGGAAGAAAGAGCAGCTACCCAGTGTGACCCTGGCACTGTCACACAGGAGAGAAGGAAAACATTTCATGAGGAAAATAAGAATGTTGGATTATCTAAAAGAGTAACAAGGAATTACTCCTACAAGGGGCCTCATTTACACCTGGGGAAAGTGGAAATAAATGTGGCAGGAAATGCTTCCAGATTGGGATTACAGGCTGTGTTCAGCCAAAAAAAAAAAGGGATAATATTCTTAAAGAGAGTAATTGGCTTCCCAGGGATTCCTGGAAGCCAGACTCCTCCTGGAGCTGTGAGCAGCAGAGAGAACTTGGCTGGGAGTCCTGAGATGCCCCTAATCCAAGGGCTAAAGCTGAAATGCAATTTAATTGGGTTTAAGTGCTTTTTCCCTGGCTGCTCTTGTGTTTCCTCATCACTCCCACAACTGCCTTGATTGGCTGGGAATTTGTAAATCACTGGAAAAACCCTGGTGGTGATCCCAGGTCAAAGCCTGGCCTGAGCTCCTGGTGTCCTCCTTAAAATGAAACTAAAAAAAATCCCTGGCGTTTCTCTACCTCTTTGGGGCTCCTTTAGGACTTTTGTTTCATTTCCTTACTGTCCCCTTTGCAGGGTTGAAAATCCTGTCAAATCCTGGAACGTCCATAGCATTCCAATAAAAAATTTCCTTGCAGGGTGGTGCTAAGGGAACTTTTCCAGCCATGGTTAGCCCAGAGCCTTGGGTTTAGCAGGGAAGTTTGGACATCCTGCTCAGTCCCTGCAGGCTGAGTGCTCCAAGGCTAGAAAACCCAATTTCCTCATTAAAATTCATTTTAGGACATGTCTTAAATGTTCCAAATTTGGCCCAGAGGTTTATATCCACAATTTTTGGTGCCTTAGCTCCATTCCTAGCAGAGGGATGTTCTTTCCTTAAAAGCCACTGCTTATCATTTATTTCTGTGATTAGCTGTGACAGAGACTGCCCCAAGAATGGATTTTTATTTTCACATTTTGAGAAGAGAATGGAGATTTTTTCCTCCCCTGAGCAGGAATGGAACCCAATTTTGTGGCAGGGCTGCTGTCCTGCCTCACAACAAGCAGCCAAATTTCACCTGCAGGGCCCATGGCACAGCCAGAAGGATTCCAGGGGATATTTTGAAGGCCTGAATTTTAAGTTTTAAGTTGAAGTTTTAGTTTTAAGGAGCTGGAAGAAATCCTGGGTTTGGTTTATTTGCCTAGACACTCCTTTGGTGACTGATAAGGGAAATACGAGGGGAGAGGGACTCATCCTGCTGCTCCTCCAGGGACAGACACCCAGGGCTTTTCCTACTTGCAGCTGTCAATTATGGCTGAGTTCAGCTTCCACCAGAGCCCTGTGATATCCTGCTTTTCCAAAGGCCAGGCTCCCTGCTGCCCTGCTGCCTTCAAAACTGCCTCTTGTTTTGGAGCCTTTCTGCAAGTCGGGCTTTTTGGTTTCTTTATGAGAGTCAGGTTCCAGCTGTGGCTGTGGAGCTCTTGAAAATGTGAACCTTTAGGTCTCTTGAAAAATCTGTCCCTCGGGCCCATCAAGCCAATCAACCATAGCAGGGGTGTTTTTCCTGATCCACAGGTGGAGAAACTCTCAGACAAGAGCCATTGATCACAGCAAGAAATCAATACTGAGCTCTCATCAAAGGCAACACCTCCATCCCCATCCTGTCAGTGGGGCTGGGAGGGAACCAGCACTGCAGAAACAGAGCTGTTCCTACAAAACAAGTGCACTTTTCTGCCTGCCTGGTGGGAGTCCATGCTCTAAAAGTCAGCAAAACTTAGAACAAAATCCCACAATAAATCCAAACCATTTCAGATTCTTCCAAACACGCTACGGAAGATGCTGCTTGTGTTGCTGGACCTAAAAGCTGAGACAGAGCTCACTGAACTCCCCCAATTCCATGTCTAAATCCCAATCTCTTACCCTGTGACAATCTCAAAGGGTGGCAGGTCCTCCCTCTTCACCTTCTTCTTCTTCCCCTCGCCCTCCTCGGCGTTGTCGGGTTCCCCGTTCTGGGCATTGCTGGGCTCCTCCTGCTTCTCTGCCATCTTCCCCAGGACACTGGGACCGAGCTGTGGCCACTGGGAGAGAGAAAGAGCAATTTCTGAGGGCTCTGGGAGCCGAGGGAGGAGGGAAAACAGAGCTGGGAGTTCCTGCCCCAGGCACAGTTGTCAGGAACTAAATATGGAACAAAGCGGCGGCGGCGGCAGGGGCTGGACAGGGTTGGGTGACCCAGGGCTCTCAGGTGTCACCTCCTTCCCCTGCTCTCTCCAGCTCCTTTCAGCAGCCCCTTTTGCTCCCCTTTTCATTTCAAACCAAGTGACAACTTCTCAGTGGCTGGGATGAGCCCAAATTTCCCTGATGGAAAACCCTGGAAGCTCTGTTGGGTATTGGTCCCAAGGGGTGACGGGTGGCTGGCATGGGGCACTCCCTGCTCTCACAGCCCTCTCCCTCCTCTGCCAATAGATTCCATGGCTGACCTTGAAGGACCAGCTCAGCCTGGCCTGGCTCAGGCAAGAGGGGAAAGGGTCGTGGTCATTTTGCTGGAGAATCCCTGGTTCTGGTGGGTTTGGCATCCTGGATCACCTGGAGCATCCTGTGGTTCCTCCCACCCTGCTCATGCAGGGCTCTGAGTTGGAAATCTCCTGGCTGGAGCTGTAAATCCAAGCCAGAACCTTCCCCCAAATATTTGGCATTCCAGCTGGAATTCCCAGTGGGCAGCAGTGCTGCTTCTCCCATTGTTCTGCATTTTCCTCCTCAGTGTTCCAGAAGTTCCCAGTGCACTGGGCTGGAGGGGCTTTTCCCTCTCTTTTTTGTTCCCTTCAGGATTATATGAAACTCTCCCAGCATCTCACTCTCAATTTCACTCATTTACAGTTTGTACCAATCCTGCCTGAGCTGAGTTTAATGAAAAAACCTGGGTGAGGTTTCCCCAGAGACCAATCCTGGCCATGCCATGGGGCAAAGGAGGTGGGAAAAGCGTGGCTGGGCAGGATTTTGGAATCAAAGCCCACTGGAAATCAAACTTGTGGGCTCAGCTCAGAACCCACCAGCAGCAAACTTTGTGTAAATGTGGAATATTCAGCTGTATTTGATGGAGTATTCAGTCAGCATTAGTGCAAAAACCTTCTCTTAGTTTGAGGAGGAGAAGAGGTATTCCATAAAAATCAAATTGCTTGGAATATCAGCTTTGGAGCCAAGTCAGCCTTTGTGATCCTGTTAAATTCAGCTCTTTAGAGCCTTGGCAGGAGGCTGCACCATCACAAAGTGAAATAAATCCACACCACCAGGCAGGTCATTTATTATCACAGAAAATTAATAGCAAATTATCACAGATAATTAATTCTGGCTGCTTTTCCCAGCCCCCTTGCCATCACCCTGCCTTTGCTGGGCTGCATATCCTTTGGAGCTTTTTCCCAGTGCCACCATGGATGCAGTTTTTGGGGACAGAGCACCCCTTTGAAGAGTTGTTGTTTAGGGGGTGTTGTTTAGGTGACAGAGCTGGCAGTGATGACAGCCCAACCAAGGATTTGACAAATTTCAAGACATCCTATCCGTGGAATATATATCTTCCACGGTGCAGGATTTTATTTATTTTTAAGCCTAGAATACTTTCCTGCAGGGCAGGGGGGGTGTTTTGCCTCCTGTGTGGTGACAACGCTCAGATTCCACCTCCCCTGTCCAATTGCTGTCACCTCTGACATTTCAGGGGCTGCTTTTAGGGTGGGAATCCTCTCCCAATGACTGACAGCTCATTTCCTCCTAATCCTGATATTTTCAAGCAGCATCTCAGCCCCTCTGCAGTCCCTCTGACCCACTCTGCTTTATTTTTGGAAGCTCTTCATGGCTGGGGTCCCAATTTTGCTGCAGCTTTAGCCTGGCCCCAGCGAGGGCTGAGCTCTAATCTAATCTGGGGAATGTGGCACCGAGGCTCCCCCTCTCTCCAGCTGCTCCCCAGCTCCTTCTAGGGCAGTGCTTGGAACAGCCATGATCCAACCCCCACTGCAGCCAAAAATATAAAAGGGCACCACGGAGCTGCTGCGTTGGAGCTGGGGATGGGTGAGGGCTCTGGGGGCTGCCTGTGACCCCAGATGTGTCCCCAGGGGCTCAGGGGACCCCCAAATTGCAGAGTTTGTGTTGAGGTTCCTCTCCACCTGTCCCTGTCCCCACTGATTTCATATTTTACCCACTTGGCTCTGAATTTGTTCATAACCCCTCTGGGATCACTGAGTCCAAGCTGTGCCCACCCTGAGCACTCAGTGCCACCTCCAGATGCCACCTCCAGGGATGGGCGCTCCAAACCCCCCTGGGCAGCCCCTTCCAGCCCTTTCCATGAGGAAATTCCTGCTGGTGTCCAACCTGAGCCTCCCCAGCCCAGCCTGAGGCCGTTCCCTCTCCTCCTGTCCCTGTTCCCTGGGAGAAGATCCCAAATCCCCCCGGCTGTCCCCTCCTGTCAGGGAGTTGTGCAGAGCCAGAAATTCCCCCTGAGCCTCCTTTGCTCCAGGCTGAGCCCCTGCCCAGCTCCCTCAGGACTCTCCAAACCCTTCCCAGCTCCCTCAGGACTCTCCAGGCCCTTCCCAGCTCCCTCAGGACTCTCCAAACCCTTTCCAGATTTCTCCAAACCCTGCCCAGCTCCCTCAGGACTCTCCACGCCCCTCCAGCTCCCTCAGGACTCTCCAAACCCTTCCCAGCTCCCTCAGGTTTCTCCAAACCCTTCCCAGCTCCCTCAGGACTCTCCAAACCCTTTCCAGATTTCTCCAAACCCTGCCCAGCTCCCTCAGGACTCTCCACGCCCCTCCAGCTCCCTCAGGACTCTCCAAACCCTTCCCAGCTCCCTCAGGACTCTCCAAACCCTTCCCAGCTCCCTCAGAACTCTCCAGGCCCCTCCAGCTCCCTCAGGACTCTCCAAACCCTTCCCCAGCTCCCTCAGGTTTCCCCAGACCCTTCCCAGCTCCCTCAGAACTCTCCAGGCCCTTCCCTGTTCTCTCAGGACTCTCCAGGCCCTTCCCCAGCTCCCTCAGGTTTCCCCAGACCCTTCCCAGCTCCCTCAGGACTCTCCAGACCCTTCCCAGCTCCCTCAGGATTCTCCAAACCCTTTCCAGGTTTCTCCAAACCCTTCCCCTGCTCCCTCAGCCCTGCCATGGGATCACAGCTCAGGCACAGGGGACACCCAGGGCAGGCCTAAGGCACAGCCTGTGCTGGGGGAAGCTTCCAGGCTCTGCTGGAGGTTTGGATTTTGGATTTCCAGCTGCTGGAGCTTTGGATTTTGAGGATCCTGCATCCATTCAAGTCCAGAGCATCTTCTTCAGTGGTTTTAGAGGCACCTCTGAGCCCTCTGATGGCTTTTGTCCCCAAACAGGGATCTCTGCAGCCCTGTGTCCCCTGCAGGTCGTGGCTGTCATTATTTAAGATTTTCTAAGCCTTGTGATGTTTACATTCTTGTAACAAACTTTCTCACACACTTTCTGTAAATAACTGATTGTTTTGCATTCTTTTATGGAGGAGGGGAAATTTGATGGACTGTTGGTTTGCCCAGTGTCATTGGAGAGGTGGCACCGTCACCCTCCCAATCCAGGGTCACTCTTGGAAATCTATAAACGTTGGAGTCAGAAATGAAATCTAAATCTACAAACTAAATCTATAAACGTTGGAAATCCAGAAATGTTGCAGTCAGAAGTGAAATCTTCTCTTTTTACCCTTGAGAGAGCTGTGTGTCCGTGTCATTTCGTGTCCCATAGTGCCAGCTGTCCCTGTCCCTGCAGCAGCAATGCCTGGAGTTAACCTGGCTGTTCCCATCACCCACACCTGCCTGCCACGGGCCCTGCCAGGAACAGGGAGCTTTTCTGGCATTGTGGGGCCAGAGGAACATTTTGGGATCGATGGGAGAGTGAAAGGAGAGCCTGGCTGGGTGAGTCATGGCTCAGCCCTGCTCTCCATGCCGAGGGGACAGCTGGTGGCACTAACAAATGTCTCCCTGGAGACGCTGTCTGGCAGCCAGCCCCCTCCTGCTTTTTCCAGCTGTAACTACGGGACAAATAAATAAATAAACACTGACAGCTTCCCTTCCTTCCCTCCCGTCCTTTGGCCCTCTCCTCCTGCCTTGTCAGAACCCAGGAAATTCCTCTGCATGCCCTGGAGGGCTCCAGCCCCTGCCCAGGGGGCTCAGAGACGCTGGCACAGCTCCCAGGACCCCTGTGCCTTTGATTTAGCCCTTGGGAAAAACAATTACCAACCTTTATGTGAAAGATTACAAGTCAAGAAAGTTGAAGTAGAATAATAGTTAGTTTGTCACGGGGTGAAAAATAAATTTTTGGGGTTTTTAGAATGGGGGCTTGGGGTCCCTGTTCCTTTTATTTAGCCCTTGGGAAAAAAAAAAAACAATTACCAACCTTATATGAAGAATTACAAGAAAGCTGAAGTAGAATTATAGTTAGTTTGTCACAGGGTGAAAAATAGATTTTTGAGGTTTTTAGAATGGGGGCTTGGGGTCCCTGTGCCTTTGATTTTGACCCATGGAAAAAAACAATTACCAACCTTTATATGAAGAATTAAAAGTCAAGAAAGTTTAAGTGGAATGATAGTGAATTTATCACAGGGTGAAAAATAGATTGTTGGGGTTTTTAGAATGGGGGCTCAGGGTCCCAAGATGGAGGAATTTGGGTGTGCCTTGTCCTTTCTCCTTCTTCTTCTTGGCCTCCATCTTCTGGGTGATGTTGGCCTTTTTAGATTGGTTTAGAGTAGAAGCTCACTGTCTAACACAGGTGATAGGGAAGTTACTGTAAATAGTGTACATGTAGTTTTTAGTATAAAAGATAACACCAGTGTGCCTCAACCCGACCTGCCAGACAGACCTTGGCAGGTGGGAGAAAGAATTTTATAGATAAGAAACAATAAACAAGCTTGAGAACAAGAACTGAAGAGTTCTGACTCCTTCTTAGACTGCCAGGCTGGGAAAAGAGACTTTCTGCCACATCCTGGGGTGGCTCTGACCAGCAGAGATTCTGAGGCTGCCTCAGCACCAAAAGGGCTTCAGGGAGGGCTGGAAATGCTCCTGTCCCACCTGGGCAGCGCCCAAATCCTG